CCTTGCAGCAGCTTTCGATATCATCGACCATGGTATCCTTCTGGATAGGTTGGCGGGTTTGGGAGTAGGAGGCACTGCATGGCAGTGGTTCCGCTCCTGTCTGGCTGGCCAATTCCAGATGGTGGTGCTGGGGGACTATAGCTCTGTGCCATGGCAGCTTTGCCATTGAGTTCCGCAGGGCTCCATTTTGTCCCTCTTGCTCTTTAACATCTACATGAAACTGCTGGGAGAGGTCATCAGGAGATTTGGGCTGTGGAGTCATCAGTATGCTGATGACACCCAGCTCTACCTCTTATTTACATCTGCTCCAGGTGAGGTTGTGGCTGTACTGGCCCAGTGCTTGGCTGAGGTAATGGTCTGGATGAGGGCCTATAAACTGAGCCTCAATCCAGATAAGATGGAAGTCCTGTTGGTGGGTGGTGCAGGTCTCCAGGTAGGTGATTTTTGACCCAGTTCTGGATGGGGTAGCACTTCCTCTAAAGGACAGGGTCCACAGGTTGGGAGTACTCCTTGAGCCAGAGCTGTCACTGGAGTTCCATGTGGCAGTGGTGGCAAGGAATGCTTTCCTACAACTTCGACTAATCCATCAGCTGCGTTCTTGCCTGGATGAGCACTCCCTAGCAACAGTGATACATGCTCTGGTAACTTCCTGCTTGGATTACTGCAATGCGCTCTACATGTGGCTGCCCTTGAAAACGGTCTAGATACTGCAACTGGTACAGAATAGAGCTTCCAGGCTGCTGATGGGGACCGGCCGTTACTCTCACATAACGCCGATCCTCTACCAGTTTCACTGGCTTCCAGTTGAAGTCCAGGCCCAATTCAAGGTGCTGGTTTTGACCTATAAAGCCCTAAATGGCTTGGGACCAGAATACCTGAAGGAACGTCTCCTTCCTTATATGCCCTCATGCCCCTTAAGATCTATGGGAGAAGCCCTACTCCAGGAACCCTCTCTAACAGAGGTTAAAAGGTCATCAGCTCAGAGTAGGCCCTTCTTTGCTGTCACACCCAGACTCTGGAATGTACTCCTCAGAGAGGTAAGCCTGGTGCCAAGTTTATACTCTTTTTGGTGCCAGGCCAAACCTTTTTATTTAAACAGTATTTTAAAATTTAATAGTTTTTAAGTTTAGTCGCTCTGTTTGTTTTGTGAATTATTGTTTTGTTCTGTTTTATTTATTGAAATTGTTGTTTTAATTGTCTTTTTAAATATTGTAAGCCATCCTGAGATCTTGTATAATAGGATGGCATACAAAAGCTTTTAATAAATGAATAAATAAATAACAGGGTGAAATCAGAACAAAAGTGCTTACTATACCATTGTATTCTCCATTTTAAAAAATCCAGGAAAACTGCCCACCACAGACAAGAGCCTACGGCAGGGGTAGGCAATGTGGCACCTGCTGGCACCAATCTCAATCATGCTTTATGTGCACCAGCCTTCCCAATCAAAACATAATCTCCTCAGCTTGCCAGACGATAGAGCCAGGCACAATTAAACAATCGGCAATCTATATGCAAGCTCTTCAGAACACGCTCACTATGATTTGTTTGTTTCCATGATCTCGGTCTGTCACTGAGGATAGTAATATATCTATGTGATCTAAATGTCCCATACTGAAGATCAAGCAACAAGGAGGAGGTCTCCTTTCCTCTAGCACCTTGTCAAGGGAAAACAGCAAGGAAGGCAACCACCTCAGTGCACCCAACTCGGATGCCTCAGATGTGAATGACTTCAATATGTGGAATTAAAACAGTAGTTCTTAATATTAAGTACTACTGTTAACAGTAGTACTTAATAATATTGAGAATATTATTATTCTCAAAAGAATTCCAGCAAAACTTCAACCCATGGACAAGAGCATATGACATGGGTCGGCTACATGGTGCCCACATGTACCAGTGCAGCCCCAGACAGGCAGTGAAAAGAGCTCCTACGCCTTCCACACAAAATCTATTAATGATTACCCATAGTAATCTTCATTTTGCTGCTATGAGGTATCTTTGCTGATCTACAGCAGAATGCCCAGGGATCTACACAAGTCTACTTTCTTCCCAGTTTTGCTGTAATGTATGTGAGCTGATCACAGGTTTAGAAACAGCCTACTTTGGGAGCTCCAATACTAGCCCCAACTTTTCATCATTGACTTTACTTCTTTCATACAACCAGTGAAGTTACTGGTTAGGGCTGGGATTAGTACCAGGAAGCTCAGGTTCAAATCCCCTCACAACCACAATACTCAGCTAGGTGGCTTTAGGCTATCTGCTATCAGCCTAACCTAGCTCACAGGGCTATTAGGAAGACAAAATAAGTGGGAAGGGAACCATGTACATCCCTCCAAGGTACTTATAGGAAAGGAAAGATAAAAATGATATAAATTATATTACTACTATTGCTCAGTGACCCCTCCCCTCTACTATTTCTTAAATCAAATAGGCTGGTGCAATTATATCCTCTCTTTCTTCGGCACATGTGATGTACCAATAGAGAATCTTGTTGATGCAGATAACTGAATCAACTCTTGACATCTTTCTTTCATTATTTCTGTCTCTCACTCTTGCTTGACTTTCAAGTTTTATTTCTACTGTTTTCCTCCTCCTTATCCCCACTCCTACTTTTCTCTCCTTTCTCCATATCTTTCAGCTGGGTTAAACTGAGGGAGATGGATTTTCAAATGATCACCACCTTTAAATCATATTTCATTGACTTTTACTCCCTTGGAAGCTGTTCTGAATATACTTTGTTACATAAGTGCAGGATATAAGTGACAGAAAGGAAATAAAACTGTTACTCAACACTGTTCCAATGTTTTACTCTTTTTTAAGGGATTGTAATATCTGATTCCCTTCAATTTAGCAAAAAGATGACTTGCTGAATATGAGCTGTTCTCAAAACTCCTTCTGTTTGAAGTTCACCTCTTTTTCCAGCTTCCAAACTTGGCAGGCCAATTTTTGTCAAGTATCATGAGGAATAAGCATTTCACTGTATTTTGGTGTTGGCAGAACAAATTGAAAGTTTTCATTTTTCTGAACTAGAATATGAAAAGATGAACTATTTTAGAAACCATTTTAAATATTTCTATAAAATAATCAGTGACTTCAGTTGTGATCTCCAAGTGTGAGAATTTCTGGAAGTGAAGGGGAGCGACTTCTTCTGGAAGTGAACGGGAAAGGGGGAACTGAACTGTCTTCTTGTTGTGGTTGCTGTGTTAATTCATTTTTGAGAAAGCACCCTAAATCAAAGGGATATACCTATATAAGAAAGAAAGAAAAATCAGGAAAAACTGCTTGTCTTCCCAGAACAGCAGAGTATTCAGATGCATTATTGTGTAATGCAACTATTTGAACTGAAAAGAGAATGAATTGTCTTGGCTCCTTAATAAAAAAAAAAGTATTTCAAGCCTATTGGCTTGATCCATGGTAAGCCATCCATACCCTAAATGGACAAAGCTTTTAGGTGGCTTTCACAAGAAAATTTCTGGGTGGACTCTACTCTGGGTAAATAACAAGGGACAGTCTGTAGCTCAATGGCAGGACACATGCCTTGTATGCAAAAGTTCCTCATCAGTTTTAATCCCTTGCATATCCAGAGCAGAAAAATGCTTCTGTTCCAAAACTTGAAGAGCCTTGAGCCTCTACTAGCAGAAAATACAGTGCTAAACAGGGTAATAGTTTGATCTGGTAGAAGAACACCGCTATGTACCTAATACCATAAAGAATGCAAAATGGTGAGTCATCACAAATGGTTCCACAGTGGAACTGTGGGAATGATGTTCGGCTGAGCACTGATTTTAAAACATCCCCAATAGTCTGCTGTGATTTCTTTTGTTATTTGAGGCAATCATATTGTGACCTGAATATACCTTGATATAAACAACAGGGATCTAAATGGCAGAAAGAAATTTCTATTGTTTACTCATGAAAAACATCTGGAAAAAGTGTGGTTTTTTAACTACCAAAACCCCCCCAAAAACCATTCTCATACTCATTTTATGTCTATTGCTCTGTAAAAGCACAAGCAGCTCCATCGTCAGCTTAGGTATTTAAAGAATCTAAGTTAGTTTAAAGAAAATTGGGTGTAAAAAAAGAAAAGAAAATCCATCCTCAAATATCACAAGAAGTCAACAGGGACTACTTCCTCAGAAAAACACACATGCACTTTGTTGTTTGAGGCTTTGAATATTCAGCATCTCAATGTACAGATAGAAGTGGATAGAGCTGTTCCCTTCAGTGTATGATTCATATTCAAAAGAAGCAGAAAATGTATAATTAAGGAAAGTAGCTCATACTCAGAAGGGTTTCTGTTCACCAGAAATGTGGAAACCAGATCTTATCCACATTTTTAGGAAAATTAAAAATTGTGAGAGTGGGTGGTTTGGTTAAACAACCCCTTTTTTCTCATTAATTTATATTCTTTAGTTCTTAATTTTTTAAATTTATATTAATGTATATTCTGCACTAATATAGATATTTCAAAGAGGTGTGCTTAAGGTATATTCAAGGGCTTGAAACAATAAAAAATCTACTGGAAGATCTCTAGGCAAACTGCAGTATGCTGACAATGCTATCTGACTCCCAGTTACTTAAAGTTAGCAACAAGATTACTTCCATCGTGCTACTGAAATGAAGAAAGCTTAGCTTAGGTTAATTTTTCATGGGGAAGAGCTGTGATACACCAAATAGATTCCTGAGCTATTACTGTGGGGTTTATCCGTGTAGACCTGCAAATGAAACTCTGTTGAAGTTGCTGCCATGTAAATCATCTGCAAAGTTGAGTGGAGGCAAAATGGCAAGTCAGTTAGTCAGTAGAAAAAGAAATTCCATGCAAGGGAAAAGGCCAGTGGTCTGGGATTTACAGACTGAAACCTGTCTGTAATTTTACTGATATGTGTTAGAGCTCCAAAATAGGAGATGTTATAATAAGAGCTGATGTTGCAGAGAGAAAGGGAGAACTGCCTTGTTCTAATAATGGAAATGAATCACTGAGTGATTGATTGATTTATTTTCCTTCCATGTCAGATGTTGTTACATTTGTGTGAGGGATGTTTTGCTTTATTGTGTAACAGAGGCTGGAGAGTGGGCAATACTTCATTCAGCCATCAGAAGGGGAAAAACTGCACTTAAGGGAGAAGGCTTGTAGCCTAGGATTTACCAAGATTTATCCCTAATTGTACCGAGTTCAGGCCCATGTGGCACGAGCAGCAGGAGGAGCTCTCGTCAGCATCCCATGTTTTCCTGCCCTTTCTTCCTCCTGTTTTCTCTCTGTGCAGTAAACCCTCTTGGGGAAGTACTCAATCTCTTGGAAAATTGCTATTTGATAAATACCTGTTGCAAGTTATTTATTTCCACAATTTGTGATAAATGCTCTTGCATTTGAATATTTGGTCATTTTGTTTCTATTTTTCTATTTCATATTTTCTATTTCTATTTCATTAGAACAATGAAGGGTAAAGCTGTGAACTATAAAGTTTGTGTTTTGTGTTGGACCAATTTTGGCATGTTACATATAGGATTTGAGTTTATAAGAACTGAGCATTTTGACCCTATTCATTCATGAATATAGGGTCGTCATAAGTATGCGATGATTTCATGGCACATAACAACAACCTACAGTGGTGTTCCAGTTATATGTCTTCTGCCCCAGACTGTGGGTGATGGCTTTTGTAGTCCTATTAGAAAAGAAATTACGTTCCATACATCTTACACCTACCCACCCTTGCCTTAAAGATTTACAAATTGACATATATTGTTAGCTTACCTTTCAGGGCATACTGCCCTCACAATGATGATAAATTACAAACTATATATTATGGCACTCCTTTTTCTTCTTTTTGTATTCCCTCTTTTACTTGCTGAGGTGAGGGATGGGATGCAGCTAAGGCTCACATTTCTTGGTACAGGTTCTTACCAATAAATGGGTCAGACTACCTCCATTCTACTGCACTGGGTGGACTGGATTTCTTCTACTGGACTTTAGCAGGTGTGGCTAGGAAGCAAAAGAGAGAATGTGAATCACCTTAAAGAGTTGCAGAACAATTATGGGTACATTCAGCTTTTCAGTTTCATTGCAGAATTGAGATTGGATCTCTTACACAAGGAGCTTTTTCTTTCTTTCCTTTCTGTATTTTCCAGAAGATAACCTCTAGGTGGCAGTCTGATATAGCAGAATAATGAAAATACACAAGTAGGAGCTTGTATTTTGTTTCAGCATGAAAAAATATACCAGTAGTCCCCAGGTTATGGATGAGTTCCATTTCTGTCCTTAAGTTGAATTTGTATGTAGGTCAGATTACATGAGTAAGCCAAACATTCATCTTAGAATATGTATATATTTTACCTTTCTATGCATATAAAACACTTAAGAAACTTGTCCATATTCACTAGAACCTCTTAAACACAATACAGCATTGTAATAATGATATTAATATGGTAATAATAAAGTAACTACAGGTACTGAAGAGAGAGAGCAAATACATATGCATGTGTGTAGGCATACAGTATTGTAAAAAAACAAAACAAATAAAAGAATTTTCAAAACAGTGTAGAACATTCTTGAGGTAACATAAGCCTACCATTAACTGATGATGACAGGAATGGACCTGGTGGTGGAGAGTCAGAGTTTGACTGTGCTGCTAGAAGGAGTGGGTTACCACTTGAATTGCTTTCTTGAAGTCAGCCTCAAGGGTACAGCCATTTTCTTCTGCTCACCATAATTGGCCTTGTAGCAGCTGAGGGCCTGGTTATACAGGAAAATGCTACAGAAAAACCAAAGGGGAACTATGTAACCTACACATGCCCCAAATCACACAGGCCTGGGTACGCTTGAGTTGACATCCAGAATGAAAAGCTGTGGATGTTGTAACTCTAGGGAACTAGGTTGCCACTGATGCCAAATGCATTGCAAAGTTCCTTACAGATACATCACGTAGTTCTTAGAGATAGCCATGACTGTCTCTAACCAATCTCAATCTCTAACAAAAGCCTGTGACTAGGAAACTACATGACCATTAATGATGCATCATCAAATGTGTCATGTAGTTCCCTAGAGATACTCACAGCTTTTCCTTAGAGATATTCACATAGGGTTTATGGCAATCCATGTGTTCATAAGTACAGTTTGTTCATAACCCAGACATTTGTGACCCAGGGACTGCTTGTATTTTATGTAAAAAGAAAAGTTTGTGGTGGTGAGAGCAGTAAGGCATGCGCCAGTGGTAACAGTACAGAAGAAACTGGCACTTACTGCCTGGAACAAAAATGGCCAAGTTACAGTGACAGTGGGCTCTTCTGAGGTGATGGGATGGGGGCTTGAGCCCCCTTACCCTGGTGATTAATCCTGGTATATCTACTGACCCAAAGGTGCTTTCTATCTAGTATTCACATCAACTGGTGACAGACAATAGCTACTCCTCACACACATTTCATCTGTCACACTGTCAGTCAGGTCAAACAGATTTGCAAGGTTTGGAAACAATACAGAACCTGTAAAACCTAGTTATTAGAGGCTTTTATACAGTGTAGAGAGAGCAGCCCCTTTTTCAAACCATCTTTGTTTCCTGTGGAGTGCAGGAATGCATCAATTCTCCATCAGTCACTGTACAAGAATCAGTTTTCCTTCACTGCCATCTTGTGGCTATATGTGTCAGGAAACAGTTTAAGGTACAATCTTATGCATATTTGGTCCGAAGAAAGTCTTACAACTCCCAGCCATGCTGTGAGGGGAATGCTGGAAGCTGTAAGACTTTCATCTGTCTCAAACATGAATAAGATTCTGGCCTTGGAGAAATCACACATTAAATAATTTATTTAAGGCAACAGAACAGCACCTTACGTGCAATTGTTCCTCTTTTGCCCTGTGTTAAGTAACATGCCATATTAGCCTATGTGGCCCCTTTAATAAATACAAAATAAGAACACTCTACCCTGGATTATAATGGATTTCCCACCTGAACAAAAGTTTGTGACTTTCCTTTTCATATCCAGTGGTAGTGGAGAATTAGCAGTAATACAAAATCCATTCTTAAAAGCCACACTGAAAGCATGAAATGCATGCATGCTTGCCTCTGTGTGTGTGTGCGCGTGTGTGTGTACGTGCATGCGCGCTTGTGCAAATCTTGGTATTGGGAGTAATGATTGATTAACTTCTGCTTTGAGAACTGTTTGCTGTTGAATGCTCTTACATAATGGCTACCATGATGGGGCTGGTTTTATATTTCTAAAAATGTTTCCAATACATTGTTTTATACTAAGAACAATAAGGAATCAACAATAAGAATTCACAAACATCAGAAATCACAATTGCTATGTAGACATTAATGGAACTTAATTGTTTTGCTGATTCAACTTATATCAGCACCTGAATTAAGTCTGTAAACTTTTATTTTTACAGGTTATGCTATCGGTATCTCTTAAAGGAGTCCTAAGTGCCTATTGCCAATCCCTGAAGAAAACAAACTGTGAACTAAGAGCATCATTAGATGATGGCGGTCTGGGCCCCGTCCCCATAACTGCAGGGCAACCCTTTATTTTGCAGTATTCCAGCATCCAGTTTCAACTTAAGAAAAAAAAATTAGGAAATAAAGTTCAGGAGGGTCAGGTAGCTTGCCAGATGCCAAGGGGGGATATTCATGAGCACAATTCTAGAGATCCCAGCAAAGGCAAAACCTGCACCCTAAACCTTTACACTAGTAGTTTCACATCTAATACACAAATAATTTCACACAACTTGCAAATTAAGAGGTTTGGGACTTTCCCAGGCATGACTGATTTGACCAAAAACAGCAATCTCCCATGGACATGATTTAGACTTGACACCTTCTCACCCCAAATAGGTGGGAAGGGCACAGAAGATAGGAAGTCAGTAAAACAGATGGCTTCACTATTCTATTTTACTTTATTTTGCATATACTTTTCTTCTTTTTGTATTCTGTTTATGTTAAGAAAATAAAAATTAAAAAGAAGATAGGAAGTAGGAGTGAGAGTATGTACTGAGATGGGGAAAGCAGGCCTTAGCAGGAGCTTACAATGACCTTTTCTGTAACCAGAGTGAATACATTGGATGTTTGGTGCAGTTCAGTGATGAAATGTTATTGAATTGGGGTCTGCCCCCTCCCGGTTCAAATACCTATTCTCTATTAAAATGATGGGCTGTTCAGAAGAACACATTCACCCACATTCTATGTTGTTATATGGGTGAAAAGGCATCACCCAACTTGCCCCTAACCTCCAGGGGTCAGGTGTGGATGTCTGAGCCAGGGAAGCCCATGTGCCTGAAGATCTGCTAGTGCAGGCTTCCCCATGAAGCACCTAGGATCCAATGCTCAGGCTGCCTATGTGGGCCCCCAGGAGTGGGAAGTGGGAAGCGATGTAACCTGGAGAACTGGGCTTCTGGCATGTCTTAATCATATGCTGCCCCTTCCCTTCTGTAACACGAGGGTATAAAAGTTCTGGTTCCCAGTGTTTGAACTCTTTATAACTTGGGTGAGGCCTCGACAATTTGCAATGTGCATGCATGAATGAAACACCAGTACAACTGAAGCTATTCAGCTGGAACAGCCCTCTTCGCTGAGACAGCGCTCTCCTAGCATGAGAGCTACTTAGACATGCACTGAGAAGAAAATTGCTGGCATCTAACTTTCTGCTTAACTGTCCACTGTTATGGTAAGAGTGGAATGTGGTCTACCTCCTTTAATTAACAATGTGCAAAAGGCAGGATCAAGATGCAGATGGGATAGGACAAAATGAGCAAGGATTGATGAGTTTGCTCCTAAAGCAAACTCATCAATATGTATGAATTATGGGGGGGGGGTCTCTCAGGAGCAGGACTGTTGTGTGCACTTTTCAATAGAGAGCTTTTAGCCCTTGCTGGTGCTTGTCTAGACATTCTGCAGTCGCACAGACAAACCTGGGTGTTGGGGTTAAAGTCCTTGACAACAACAAGGGGCCAAATATCTCTCTCCCAAGCTTATAGTGAAGATAAGGAGAGGCTGCAAGATGCTGAGGACTAGCATCAGTTTTCAAGGAAGAACACTTTGTTCTGTTCCCTGCAGGGGTGTTGAATTTCAGGCCTGCAAGCCAAAGCCAGCCCTGCTGCGATCTCAATTGGCTCTCCAGTGTTCCTGCAATGGCCACATCCGCTTCCACAGCCCCAGACCCCTATTTCCCAACCACCCATCACTTGGCAGTTCATCCATTTTTGCACATTTTTTCAGTTCCAAAGGGCTGAACTGCCTCTCTTAGGGCTTACTTAGGGACAGTAAGAACTTTAAGCTACCACATGCTGGTATTTTGGATATTTTGGTCCTGTCTCTTGCCCCTTTGACCCCATCCCCTTTGCCCCTGCCAGTCACTGATAGCTTCTCCCAAACTGAGTTCCACCCTCAAACTGAGAGGGTTTTGGCACCCCTGGTTGACAGCTTAATGGCTATGCTACTGTGTGGAAGATATTGATAGGACAATCATCACACCACCTCATTTGAGGAAGCATATATTCTGCAATTTCATATGGCTGGCATTTTTGCTAAGACTCTTTTCAAGTGTGTGATTTGGAAACATGTTTAGTGAATGATTTCTTCTTGGTAAATATTATTTAGGAACACACTGCCAGATTATTTTAAGGACTATTAAAAAGTGCCCTGTATTGTATCAAACCACTTATCTATCTCCCCCAGTAGTACCACCCTGATTGATAGTGACTCTGAGGTAGAGGTTTTCCTCATTGTTTGCTATCTGAGATCCTTTAAATTGAGATCCCAGGAATCAAACAGTGACTTATCAGATGCAGAGCAAGTGTGATTCCCCTGCTCCCCACCATTTTCTTTTTGAAAAGCTATTTTGTCTTTAGATTTTGAGATCTAGGTTTAGGTTCTATTTAAAGAGGTAGACATGGCTTCCATCACAATGAGTGGGTTCAGTTAACCAGTAACTGGCTTTAGATGACAGAATAATTCATATTTCAACAACTCTTGGTTCAATAACCAAGACTCAACCCCTACTGCTGAACATGGGTTTTTGCCTTGTCTGAACTTAGTCCATGACTGACACTGTTCCTTATGTCAGAATATGGATATGAATAGTGCAATGTGATCTTATTCCCAATGCAGTACTAACATCTGTACATAGCTTTATACATCATACACATTTTTCTGATTTGGATTATTACTGTAAACACACCTTCTGTAGCCTATGGAAGCCTTCCCCAACTTGATGACCTCCAGAATTTTTGGAGTTCAGCTCCTATCAACTCCTGCCAGTATAGTCAATAGTCAGGGTTTATGGGAGTGATAGCCCAAAACATCTGGAGGGCACTAGATATGGAAGGCTATCCTGTAGGGGTTGTACTATGTAAGCATCTGAATGTGAATGGTAAAAATATCCCTGCACATCACAATATCAACAGCTGCAGGTGATTGTTATGGTTGTATACCATCAAGTCTTCTCCAGTTTATGCCAAACCTTTGAGTGAAAGGAGTTCTGCTCAGCTCTTGCAAATTAAGGACACAGCTTCCTTTATGGAGTCAATCCAACTCGTATTTGGTTTTCCTTTTCTCCCTCTGCCTTCAACTTTCCCTAATATAATTGTCTTCTCTAGGGAGTTTTGCCTTCCCATGATGTGCCCAAAGTATGACGGCCTACATGTTGTCATTTTTGCTTCTAGGGAAATTTCTGGCTTGATTTGATCTGGGACCCATTTGTTTGTCTTTCTGTTGGCCCGGAGTATTCACAAAGCTCTCCTCTACCACTATGGTTTGAACACATCAATTTTCTTCCCGTCAGCTTTCTGCACCATTCAGCTTTCACAGTCATACATAGTGATCCAACATACAATAGTATGGATGATCTTGGCCCCCATTTGGTCACCAGTGAGAGGCCCTTACCCTTGATGATCTTTTCCGGTTCCATCATTGCTACTCTTCCCAGTCTCAGTCTTCAAATTTCCTGGCTACAGTCCCCCTTTGAATTGATGACTGAGCTGAGATATGGATAATCTTTCAGAATTTCAATTTCTTCATTGTTGACATGCAAGTTGTGTAATTATTTTCCAGTCATGATTTTTGTTTGCTTAATATTCAGCTGCAGTTCTTTTGTGCTTTCTTCTTTCATTTTCAACAGGAGTTGTTTCAATTCCTTGCTGCTTTCTGCCATAAGATGGTATGAACACATATCTGAAATTATTGATGCATCACTTGCCATTTCTCACTCCTTCCTCTGATTCTAATCCATCTTTCCTTATGGTATGTTCTGTGTGCAGACTGAACAGATTGAATGTAAAATACACTCTTACCTGACACTTTTGCCTATAGGAAACCATTCTGTTTTCCCATATTTTGTCCTAACGGTAGCTTCTTATCCACAATACAGGTTTTGCATCAGGACAATCAACTGCTGAGGCACACCCATTTCTTTTAGGACCATCCATAGTTTTGTGAGATCCACACAGTCAAAGTTGACTTGTTCTTGAGTGTCTCTTCCTTTTTGGAATCCAGCTTAAATGTCAGGCATTTCTCACTCCATATAGGGTAATCTTTGTTGCAGCACCTTGAGCTTCATTTTTCTAGCATGGGAAATCAGTGCAATGGTCGTATGGTTGCTGCACTATTTTGCATCTCCTTTTTGGGGACTGGAATGTATATTGAATATTTTTGTGGCCACTGTTGTTTTCCACATTTGTGGGCATATTCTTGTTGGGGTTGGACTTCTACAGCTAAGGATAGTTCTACTGGTATCCTATCTATTCCTGATGCTTTATACCATGGGTCCTCAAACTACAGCCCATGGGTCAGATTTGGTCCACCATGCTCATTTATCTGGCCCACCTCAGAGATTTTGAACTCGCTCAGAGAAAACAATATCCGAGCAAGTGCAAAAGCTCTGAGCTGGCGCAGGCATTCTCTGAAACTGAGCAGAGAGCTGCCACACATGCCTAATTGTAAAAGCTCAATTGTGCCTGTGCCAGCTCTCCCCCGCACCCCACTGCATGCATATACAGAGAGGGAATATGGAGAAGGAAACAGAGGAGAAGAGGGCGGAAGAGAGAGAGAGACGAAGATGCTAGAAAAGGAGTGAAGGTAAGAAAACTTACCTTATAACTTTTAAAGTCCATTTTTAAGTATGTGAGCCACATCCCCAGGGGCGCGAGAGGGCACATCCTTCAATGGGCGAACCGCCACCACCATTGAGCTGCTGCCCCTGGGCTAGGTGAGGCAGCCGCAGCTTACCCAGAGAAGGTTCTTCCCCACCTCATCTTGGGCTTCTGCTGCAGCCCGAGGGAGCAGAGCAAACGGTTTTTAATTTTTAAATTAATTTTTAAATTTTAATTAAATTGTAATTTATTTTAATTGTAATTAATTTAATGTGCAGTGTGCATAGGAATTCATATTTTTTTCAAACTCTAGTCTGCTCCCCCCCAACAGTCTGAGGGACAGTGAACTGGCCCCATTTAAAAAGTTTGAGGACCTCTGCTTTATACCTTCCAATTGCTTTCAGAGCACCTTTCAGTTTGCTTTCTAATTATGCAGGCTCTTCCTCATAGGATTCCTCTTTGAAGGAGTCTGTTATCCTTTCATCTCTTCTGGACAGTTCTTCTGTACATTGGTTCCATCTTCTCTTTATTCTAGCCAGGTCAGACAGCATGTTCCTATGTTTATCTTTCAGCTTTCCTAACCTAGGTTTGAATTTCTCTTGGGTTTGTTGGGTTTTCTAGAAGAGGCCTCTTGCCTTTCCTCTTTGGTTGTTCTCTTCTATTTCTTTGCATTCTCCATTTTAATAGTTTTTTTTTGTCTTCACATGATAGTTGTTGAAAAGTTGTATTCAGGATTCTCATCTTGCTTCTGTCACCTTTTACTTTTGCTTCTCTTCTGTCCTTTGCAACTGTATTTCCTCTGTTATTCATATATCCTTTTTCTTTCTTTTGCTTGAATTATCTTTTGGCATTCTTCCCTAACAATGACTCTGGTTCATGGACAATTGAGTTCTGTAATGCAAGTCTGTTCTCTAGTTGGACTTTAATTCCTCAGGAATATTATTGAACTTGTACTTTGGCACTGTGTTTATATTAGCGATCTTTTTTTCTTTTAGCTTTACTCTGATTTTTTATATTAAGAATCCAAACTTTATTATTTATTTTTCGATTTATATCCTGCCTTTTTCCTACAAAGGGCTCAAGGCAGCTTACATCATTCTCCTCCCCTATCTTATCCCCACAACAACCCTGTGAGGTAGACTGGGTTGAGAGTCTGTGACTGGCCCAAAGTTACCCAGTTGGCCCCATGGCTGAGTGGGGATTAGAACCCACTCCCATGCTCTTAACCACTACACCACACTGGCTTTCCCACTACACCACACTGGTTCTCTTAATTTCTTAAATTAAGAAATAAAACTTAATTTAAATAAATAAATAAATCTCTTAATTTATTAAGAGATTAAAAGTTCAAGTTTGGTTTTAATGAAACCAAAATACTTTGAGCACAAAACAGCAATTTCTACGTCCCACTGATTTAATTATAAGCTTAAGTTGAAATCAAAGAGATCTAAAAATGCTCAAGCAGTCAGATTTTATTGTTCCAGATAGTGGATTTCATTCAAAGTGCAGCTTAGCCAGTATATGAATGTACAAGTAAAGGATCTAGAGCTATCCTAGTTCTAGAAGTAAACAAGCTTCTCCCTTCCATAATAATTTCTGAGAAGGTGCTTTTATAAAACTCCTCCTAACAAGTTCCCCGTAGTTGGCTAATACAGCACGTGATGTTTGCCCAACGTGCAACACATCCTTTCCCCACCAGAGGGCTCCGTGAGGCGGCTTACGCTGCGCTTCAGACGCGAGAAAACAGTTTGAGGCTCTACTAGACTTTTAGAGGCAACATGGCCACGTTGAGGCTGCCGGCGAGCAAGGTCCTAAGGCAGCTTTGCTGTCTCCGGGGAGGGCGAGCGCCGGCCAGGTGAGTGCTTCCTTCACGGTGTCCTGCTGGCGTGGAAGAGGCGCGAGGGGATAAGATGGAGGCATAGGACGGCTGAGCCGGCAGCCCCTCTCGGCGTTGCAGACTTGAGTTTGAGGCATGAAAAAGGCGCAGTGGGCACCGTTTTCCTGCTGCAGGAGGATGAGTGGTGGTGAATTTTCCGTAAGACTCAGCCTTGGAAAGCGCCTCGCCCCGCGTTCGGTATGTGCCTGTCACTCTTGGCACTCTTGAAAGATCTGCTGTCGGGGGTTTCCTGGTCTCCTCCCCTCCCCGCGCCCCGTACTCACCTCGCAAGTTGAGCACGGGCACGCTTCAATTTTCTGTGCAAGTTTTGACAGAAGAAAGGGCTTCCACTGCATGCTCGGGTATGCTGGGAGTAGCAGGCCTTTTCCTTGTCGAAACTTTGCTCTTTAAAGCGCTTTGCAGAGTTGAAAATGCCATAGCAATGCTGGCAGTGGCCTGTGGATGGATTCTCTGATTTTGACTGTATGGAGCAGTGAAGCTGGCAAAGTTTGTTCCCTTACCAAACTAGCAGTTTTGTTATCATTTCCAGAGGATGACTGCAGTAGTCCATTGCAGAAAAGCCAACTAAAAAGTAAGAAGGTCGCCAGCTCTTCATTGGGTGGCGATCGCGAGCGTGCCCGCCTTCCCTGCATGGACGCGATCACGTTCGTGCTGGGGGGGGGGGCGGGGAGATGGCCACAATTGCTCCCGAGTTCCCTGCCCGAGTGCGCCCGCGCCTGCCTCCCCCACAGTGCACCCGCGATCGTGCCTGCCTCGCCCCCACCCCCCCACAAACAATAGCTGGGGGGGAAGGGAGCTGGCCGCAATCTTTGTTGTTCTTTGTCACTTTGCTTCACATTTTTGTGAGTAAAAAAATTAGTCGCAGAACGAATTAACCTTATTTATATTGAACCTTATGGGGAAATTTGACTTGGCTCACGACCAATTTGGGTCACAAACAGAGTCCTGGAATGGATTAAGTTTGGGAGCCAAGGTACCACTGTATTTGGCATATTAACTGTATAGGACAATCATGTCAATCATAGCAATTGACACTGTAATTGTATTAACAGGAATACCAAACTGATCTACGGAACAGAACTAGATGTTGCAGAGTGGTATAGTACTAAACTTTAAAGTGCAAGAAATTTGAAAAACTGAGGCAGATTTGTGAACCTATATCAACAAATCAGTTCCGGGAATTTTCATCTGCTTGAAGGTTTTGTAAATCTTGTTGTTATGTGCCATCAAGTCATCTCCAACTTATGCTGACCCTATGAATGAAAGCCCTCCAAAATGTCCTGTCCATGAGAGCTCCATTCAGCACTTCCAGGTTCAAGGCTGTGGTTTCCTTTATGGGTTCAGTCCATCTCATATTTGGTCTTCCCTTTTGTATTCTGCTTTTGGCTTTCCTTAGCATGATTGCCTTCTGCAGTGACTCTTGCCTTCTCTTAATGCATCCAAAGTATGATACTTTGTAAATCTAATTGTCTTAATTGCCCATTTAGGACAAGCCACCCCAAAACACTTAATGCTGTGACAGGTCCTGGGAAAATGCATTTCCCCCCAACCTCTCTGAGGATTGCAACTCAACTTAGAAGCAATGTGGAATCCTTGGGGGCAGGGTGGGTGGCAGATGACATCAGCATTCCTGCTAATAATAACATATTGTTCTTGCAGCATCGCTCCAAGCTCCAGTTCTGATGCACCACTGGTAGCAAAAAAGGTTTGGCTGCTCCTGCAAACGACAGCTGTGCCAGGTCAGCCACCTAGTGCCCTACAGATATTTTGAACTACAACTTCTGTCAGCCCCAGCCATTATAGTTAATGGTAATGGATTGTGGGAGTTGCAGTCCAAAACATCTGAGAGACAGTAGATTCCCAATCCTTGAATAAAGTCTCACTGCACCCTGTAACAGTGAGGGGAGTGCATTTTATGCCCAGGGGTTTGTTATGCCGAACCTCTCCAAGCCTTTATTTTGCATCATTGCCAGCTGCTTGCTCTTGGAGCACTTGATGTAGTAATAGCAGCAACTGAGGAAGTCTTGCTTAATGTTATGGAGGGGCAAGTTTGGAGGAGCTTTCTCTGTGGCTGCCATTTTCAAGGGCAGCTGTGTTCTTATAACATTGGTTCTATCAACAAGTAGCTTCAGTGTGAGAGGTGTTGTTTTTATCAATACAATGTGATATTTTTCCTACATGTATTCTTTCTAATTTTATTTATTTTAAGATACTTTCAGACTGAAAATCATCACTCAGCCCGGCTTGAAACCTCCTCTGCTAAAACCTTAATGGACATAGGAACTCGGAGGATCTTCACTTCAGATCATGACATCTTTCGACAAAGCGTGAAAAAATTCTTTCAGGATGCTGTGGTACCAAATCATGGAGAGTAAGTTAAATACTGAAAGAATTTGCATGTTTCTCCTGTCAGAAGTGCTGCTAAATGACATGCTGCTTCTTCCAACAGAAGCTTCCCTCCTCAGGCTTATAGTACTGTACAGGAGCTGTTTTGCTGGGACTACTGGGGTGGGGGGCTGGGGGGGTTAACTTCCCCCTCTGTGCACCACAGTCATGATTCAGACCCTCTGCAATCAAGTTATTTTTCTAATTAAAACAATTTACACACATGGGTCATCTGCCTTGACCCATAACTCAGTTTAACTAAGGACACAATCCTATGCATTTTTAGATGAGAAAAAAAATCCTAAAATAGACTTCTGCTGAGCAATGATAGAAGTTGTTGGACGTTTTTCCCATCTAAACATGCATAAGATTGTACCCTAAAACTGCAATCTAACATCTGCTTGCCTGAGAATAAGCCCTACTGAATTCAGTGGATCTAGCTTTTGAGCCCCCTTCATGGATCACTGCCTTATCGTGGCAAAGGGGCTTGTGTAAGATCTATGAATCAAGGCAAGCTGGACATGGTCAAACAAGAGATGACAAGACTGACCATCGACATCTTAGGAATCAGTGAACTAAAATGGACAGGAATGGGTGAATTTAATTCAGATGACCATCAGGTATACTACTGTGGGCAAGATTCCCTCAGAAGAAATGGAGTAGCCTTCATAGTCCATAAAAGAGTAGGAAAAGCAGTACTGGGATACAATCTCCAAAATGACAGAATGATCTCAGTTCGAACCCAAGGCAAACCATTCAACATCACAGTAGTCCAAGTCTGTGCCCCAACCACCGGTGCTGAAGAGGCTGAAGTTGACCGGTTCTATGAAGGCCTACAACACCTTCTAGAATTAACACCAAAAAACATTGTCCTTATCATCATGGGGGACTGGAATGCTAAAGCGGGAAGCCAAAAGATAACCGGAATAACAAGCAAGTTTGGCCTTGGAGTACAAAATGAAGCAGGGCACAGGCTGGTAGAACTTTGTCAAGAGAATACGATGGTCATAGCAAACACTCTTTTCCAACAACCAAAGATATGACTCTACATATGGACATCACCAGATGGTCAACATAGAAATCAGATTGACTATGTGCTCTACAGCCAAAGATAGAGAAGCTCTAGACCATGGGTCCTTAAACTACGGCCCGCGGGCTGGATCCGGCCTGCCATGGCCATTTATCTGGCCTGCCAGAGGTTGCCATGTGTGCGTGCGCATGCGTGCGTGGCAAGGTGCCAGCTTGCTCACAAGGAGATTGTTTTGGACTCGCTCGGAGAAAAGGATCTCTGCATACAGATGTCCCTGCCTTGCGTGTGTGAGCATGTGTGCAGGCCCCCCACCACCCCGGGCCGCGCCCTCCACCCCCCTGCCCCGGCCCGCACACCCCACCCGCACTGCCTTGGAACCCGCACCCATTGCTGGCACCTTTCAACTGGCCCCCTATTCAAAAAGTTTGAGGACCCCTGCTCTAGACAGTCAGTAAAAACAAGACCAGGAGCTGACTGTGGCTCGGATCATGAGCTCCTTGTTGCAAAATTTAGGCTTAAATTGAAGAAAGTTGGGAAAAGCACTAGGCCACTCAGGTATGACCTAAATCATTTCCCTGATGAATATACAGTAGAGGTGACAAATAGATTTAAGGAATTAGATCTGATAGTCAGAGTGCCTAAAGAGCTATGGACGGAGATTTGCTACATTGTACAAGAGGTAGCAACTAAAACCATCCCAAAGAAAAAGAAATGCAAGAAAGCAAAATGGCTGTCTGAGGAAGCTTTACAAATAGCTGAGGAAAGAAGGGAAGTGAAAGGCAAGGGAGAAAGAGAAAGGTACAGCCAATTGAATGCAGAATTCCAGAGAATAGCTAGAAGAGATAAGAATGCCTTCTTCAATGAACAGTGCAAAAACATAGAAGAAAACAATAGAAAAGGGAGGACCAGAGATCTCTTCAAGAAAATTGGAGATATGAAGGGAATGTTCCATGCAAAGATGGGCATGATAAAGGACCAAAATGGCAGGGACCTAACAGAGGCAGAAGAGATTGTGGCAAGACTACACAGAAGAACTATACAAGAAAGAGCTTAATGTCCCTGATAACTACGATGCGGTGGTCACTGACCTCGAGCCAGACATCCTGGAATGTGACGTCAAATGGGCCTTAGGAAGTCTGTGCAACAACAAAGCTAGTGGAGGTAACGGTATTCCAGCTGAGCTATTCAAAATCTTAAAAGATGATGCAGTAAAAGTGCTACACTCAATATGCCAGCAAATTTGGAAAACTCAACAGTGGCCACAGGATTGGAAAAGGTCAGTTTACATTCCCATCCCAAAGAAGGGCAATGCCAAAGAATGTTGAAACTACTGCACCATTGCACTCATTTCACATGCTAGCAAAGTGATGCTCAAAATCCTACAAGCTAGGCTCCAGCAGTATGTGGACCGAGAACTACCAGAAGTACAGGCAGGGTTTTGAAGAGGCAGAGAAACTAGAGATCAAATTGCCAACATATGCTGGAACATGCAGAAAGCTAGGGAATTCCGGACAAACATCTATTTCTGCTTCATTGACTATGCTAAAGCCTTTGATTGTGTGGATCACAACAAATTGTGGCAAATTCTTAAAGAGATGGGAGTCCCAGACCATCTTATTTGTCTCTTGAGAAACCTATATGCAGGTCAAGAAGCAACAGTGAGAATTGAACCACAAACATATATGCAGAGCACATTGTGAGAAAGTCGAGGCTCGATGAATTACAAGTTGGAATTAAGATTGCCGGGAGAAATATCAACAGCCTCAGATATGCAGATGATACCACTCTAATGGCAGAAAGTGAAGAGGAACTAAAGAGCCTCTTGATGTGGGTGAAGGAGGAGAATGCAAAAGTTGGCTTGAAACTCAACATCAAGAAAACTAAGATCATTGCATCCGGTCCTATCACTTCCTGGCAGATGGATGGGGAACAAATGGAGGTAGTGACAGATTTTATTTTCCTGGGCTCCAAGATCACCACAGGCAGGGACTGCAGCCAAGAAATTCAAAGACGCTTGCTCCTGGGGAGGAAAGCTATGACAAATCTAGACAGCATACTAAAAATCAGAGACGTCACTCTGCCAAAAAAAGTGCATATAGTCAAGCCTATGGTTTTCCCAGTTGCAATGTATGGCTGTGAAAGCTGGACCATAAGGAAGGCTGAATGCCGAAGAATTGAGGCCTTTGAATCGTGGTGCTGGAGGAGACTCCTGCGAGTCCCCTGGACCGCAAGGCGATCAAACCTTTCAGTCCTAGAGGAGATCAACCCTGACTGCTCTTTAGAAGGCCAGATACTGAAGATGAAACTCAAATACTTTGGCCACCTAATGTGAAGGAAGGACTCCTTGGAGAAGAGCCTAATGCTGGGAACAATAGATGGCAAAAGAAGGGGACAGCAGAGAATGAGGTGGCTAGATGGAGTCACTGAAGCAGTCAGTGTGAACTTGAGTAGACTCCGGGGGATGGTGGAGGACAGGACGGCTTGGAGGAATGTTGTCCATGGGGTTGTAATGGGTCGGACACAACTTCGCAACTAGCAACAACAATCTTTTGAGCAGGGATGTATATTTTTTATTAATTATACTTATATTTCACCTTTTTTCCTTCTGAGGAACTCAAGGCAGCTTGTACAATTCTGCTCCTCCTCCCAATCTCATCCTTATAACAACAATCCTGTGAGGAAGGAATTCAGTCCCAGTCCCTCACTCTTAACCACTACACCACACTGGCTCTCCATATAGGATTGCTATATTTTTTTTAAAGAATATGCACTAGAGCTGAAGTTATTTTCAACATATTTACACACATGTATATTTATTAGAAGGTTTATAAAGGTTGTAATGCTTTCCTGTCTTACCTGGGAGTAAGTAAGGCCCATTGAAACAATAAACTTGCATTTGAGTAAATGGTCAGAACAATGGCTGTATGTCTGCTTTCCCACTACATACCATGGCGGTGAAGGAAAAATGCCTGTATCACTCCCATAGAGATGTCAGCAGTCAGTTCGAAATTGTGCTTCGTAATGCTTGTTCTGAGGTACTGATCAAAGGTCCTGTAAACTATATCTTGCTTCCCCAGAGGCTGTGCAGCAGTAACCGGGTGCCTTTTCTTGAATTAGTAGCTGTTTGTTGACAGGTTTGTTGGCTCCTGCATTGATTTTTCTCTGTTTATTGTTTCTGGAACTATGGGGTTTATAGGTAAAGTGGGCTCATCTGTGGCCATAGGCTGGAGCGAGGAGGAAGTCCCGCTTTACGACAGGGCTAAGTACTACATGGCATCTTCCTTACTTTCAGCTCTTTGCTTGTAGCATTGCCTTAAGAGTTCCCTGTACCTGCTCATCTCTCCTGAGCTTCTGCCCACTTCTGCTTACATTGTAAGTCTACTGCTCTTGCAAGAGTGCCCCCTACTGAGACAGCACCAGCCCTGCAGCAGTCCCCTGCCTGGAGTATGTCCAGAAAATACACTGGTATCTTCACACATCACCATTGTTTGCAGTTGAATATTTGTTGACTTGTTAAGTGCACATGCTTAAAACTGCATGTAAGTGATTACGTCAACAATTGCTGTATGTGTGTGTGTATTCTCCAGCACACAAATCCATAAATGAGTTCTCTTAATTGAAGGAGAATATAGAAGAAGATTTTTTTCTTATTCTTCTATCTCCATTTTATAAATGTTTCAATTTAATGCTGAAGCTTTCTCTGGTTGATTCCATTTACAAATAATATTAAAGATGTCCATTTCAACCCATTTAATATTTCAGTTGCAGAACTGGAACTTAGGCTATATTTTAAGTTCAAGTTTCCTGTCAATTGGAAAGGCTTATGTGGAATTCCAGTTGCACCATCACCATATCAGGCAGATACAGAGGATGTGTTCTTTTTTATACTTAAATCATGTGTTAAACCTGAAATAATTTTTGTTTTGTATCTATAAATTGTTACTCTTGAACTGACAGTGTATTGACCTTGTTTGCACATCATGGCTGTGATCACAGGTAATGCTAAGCCATACAGTGTGGTGTGGTTTCTTTCCTTTGTTCCTGTGCTCAGAAAGGCACATTATTTATTTATATTTATTAATTATATTTATATCCTACCATCTTTTCTTCCAATGAATTCTAGGCAGATTACATAATTCTCCTCCTCGTCTTACTCTTATACGCATAACAACATTGTGCTGGTCCGCCCCCGGAGCCAGATGGATCCAGATGGTTTCCTGAAGGCCCTGGGGGAATTTCCAGTTGACAAGGCTGGTGCTACTGTCGAAGCTCTGGTCAAACTGTGGAATGGGGAAATGACCAGGGCTATTGACACGATCGCTCCTAAGTGTCCTCTCCCACCGGGCAGAGCCCACTCTTCCCGTTGGTATACACCTGAATTACGGGCGATGAAGCAGGTTGGGAGACAGCTAAAGCATAGGTGGAGGAAATCATGGCATGAATCTGACCGAGCACACTTGAGAGCTCATTATTGGGCCTATGCTATGGCGGTGAGGGTGGCGAAAAAGAAATTTTTCTCCGTGTCCATTGCCTCCTCACAATGCCGTCCAGCGGAATTTTTTCAGGTGGTACAAGGGCTGGTTCACCCAGGCCCTAAGAAAGACCTGGTACCACCCTCAATGGCCTGCTGTGACGACTTTCCCAAGCATTTTAGGGAGAAAATTGCTCAGATTCATCACGAGCTGGCCTCCACTAGTGACTCAGAGCCTTCAGGGGAGGAGCCAACGTTGCCGTCTGGTCCACAATTGATGGATGAATTTCAGTTATTGCGGCCTGATGATGTGGACAAGGTGCTTGGACAAGTACGTTCCACCACCTGCTTATTGGACCCTTGCCCGTCTTGGCTACTCAAGACAGCCAAGGACAGGATAGGGACCTGGATCCTGGAGGTTGTCAACGCCTCTCTAAGGGATGGCCGGGTACCTGCCCCTTTAAAGGAGGCGGTAGTCCAGCCTGTCCTAAAGAAGGCATCCCTGGATCCAGAGGTGGCCACCAATTATAGACCAGTGGCCAACATCCCATTTCTGGGCAAGGTGATAGAGCGGGTGGTGGCGGGACAACTCCAAGCACTCTTGGAGGAAACTGATTATCTGGACCCATTTCAGTCCAGCTTCAGACCCAGGTATGGTACTGAATCTGCCTTGGTCGCCCTGTACGATGACCTGTGCAGGGAGAAAGACAGGGGGAGTGCATCCCTGTTGGTTCTCCTGGACCTCTCAGCGGCTTTCAATACCATCGACCATGGTATCCTTCTGGATAGGCTAGCAGGACTGGGAGTTGGGGGCACTGCTTTGCAGTGGTTCCATTCCTATCTCAGTGGCCGATTGCAGAAGGTGGTGCTCGAGGACTATGGCTCTGCACCATGGCATTTATGCCATGGAGTTCCGCAGGGTTCCATTTTGTCCCCCATGCTATTTAACATCTACATGAAACCGCTGGGAGAGGTCATCAGGAGGTGTGGGCTGCAGAATCATCAGTATGCTGATGATACCCAGCTCTACGTCTCGTTCTCTATCAATCCAGGTGAGGCAGTGGCTGTACTGAACTGGTGCCTGGCCGAGGTAATGAGCTGGATGAGGGCCAATAAACTGAAGCTCAATCCAGACAAGACGGAAGTCCTGTTGGTAGGTGGATCAGGCTTTGGGATGGGGGACTTTGTCCTTGTCCTGGACGGGGTTGCACTCCCTCTTAAGGACAGGGTCCGCAGCTTGGGAGTGCTCCTCAACCCAGAGCTATCGTTAGAAGCTCAAGTGACGGCAGTGGCGAGGAGTGCTTTCCTTCAGCTTCAGCTGATCCATCAGCTGCGTCCCTACCTGGAGAACGACTGCCTGGCAACAGTGACACATTCATTGGTCACTTCCTGATTAGACTTCTGTAACGCGCTGTACGTGGGGCTGCCCTTGAAGACAGTCCAGATACTTCAATTGGTGCAGAATAGAGCTGCCAGGCTGCTGACGGGGACTGGGTGTTGTTCTCATATAACCCCAGTCCTCTGTCAGCTCCACTGGCTTCCCATTGAAGTCCGGGCCCAATTCATGGTGCTGGTTATCACCTACAAAGCCCTGAATGGCTTAGGCCCTGGTTACAAAAGGAGCGCCTGCGTCCATATATGCCCTCCCACCCCCTGAGATCGGCGACAGGGGCCCTTCACCAGGAACCCTTCGTGAAGGATATTCGAGGGGTGAGTACTCGGAGGAGGGCTTTCTCTGTGGTGGCACCCAACCTATGGAATGCACTCCCCAGAGAGGTCCGCCTGGTGCTGTCCTTATTTGTTTTTTGGTGCCAGACCAAGAGCTTTTTATTTAAATGCTATTTTAACTGTTAATGGTTTATTTGTTGGTTTAAATGGACCAGGCTGGATCCACTATTTTATTTTATTTTATTTTATTTTATTTTATTTGTATTTTATTTATTTGATGATTTTTTTGTATTTTATATGGGATTTTAATGATTGTAAGCCGCCCCGAGGCTCATGCAATGGGGCAGCATATAAGTTGTTTAAATAAATAAATAAATAAATAAATAAATAAATAAATAAATAACACATTAACCCTGTGAGGCAGGTTGGGCTGAGAGTTTGTGACTGGCCAAAGGCACCCAATGGGCTCCATGGCTGAGTGCGGTCTAGAGCCCTAATCTCCTGAGCTCCAATCACACACTCATAACTGCTACACCACACTTGCTCTTGGAAACCACACCACACCTTGGAAACACATCTTCTTTTTAAATGGTCGCATGTATTCCATCAGCCCCTACAGCTCAGAATCAGTCCTAGTATGCACCACTCCTGCCTGCGTTGCAACTGCTGCCCCAGAAAAATGGAGGGTGGTGCTGCTGCATTGGGAAGCCCTCAAGGGGAAATTCACCCATGGTAGCTCCTTGTTACATGCATACTAGGCCTCACACACTCATAACTGCTACACCACACTTGCTCTTGGAAACCACACCACACCTTGGAAACACATCTTCTTTTTAAATGGTCGCATGTATTCCATCAGCCCCTACAGCTCAGAATCAGTCCTAGTATGCACCACTCCTGCCTGCGTTGCAACTGCTGCCCCAGAAAAATGGAGGGTGGTGCTGCTGCATTGGGAAGCCCTCAAGGGGAAATTCACCCATGGTAGCTCCTTGTTACATGCATACTAGGCCTCAGTATACATATGCATACATTTTCTTCTCTCCCATGTAAATGCAGTCATAGACCTTTGGGGTTGTACACTGTTTTGTTGCCTTAAAATCTTTGTTTTCAAGCAATTAAGCCTGCATCTTACTGAGCAAAGTACCCACCAGCCTCAAATCCTGTAAAAGGAATTCCAGTGACTTCACTCATCCTTGTTTTATCTGCAGGTGGGAGAAAGCTGGACAGGTAAGCAGAGAGGTCTGGGAAAAAGCTGGACAACAGGGATTCCTGGGTGTCAACATAGCAGAAGAACATGGTGGCATTGGAGGGGACCTTTTCTCTACAGCCATTGTTTGGGAAGAGCAGTAAGTACCAGAGATAGTGTGAAAGAACTTTTCTGTTGTCAGTTACCTTCCTCTGGGAAAGTTTTGTGTAGCTTCCCTTCCCCATGTTACTTGCTGTCAGAACTTTAGAAAACTGTTTAAGTTGCTAATTGTTATAAATTATCCCTTGAGCCTGATAGTTAATTTCATCTTCATAGTTATAACATTCATTGTCAATGAATGCATACTTTGAGTAGAGCAAATACCTTGTAAAGAACAGTCCACCCTACTTAGCATGGTATTATTGCAGCTATGAATTATGAATATGAATTATTCATATTTTTTCTTTTGGAGTCTTAAACAGCAAACATAAGAAGCTAGGGAAAGTCTTTAGGTCACCTGTAGTTTCGCCTGTGGTTGAGTAGCTTCAGTAAATACTGTGGTATGCCACAATCCAGCATTTCCCCATGTGGAGGATGGAGCATGACAGCTCTGCATGTAGAAGAGTTAAGCCCAATGAGGAACAGATGCTACAGGAAGGGGATTGGTAGTTATGGCTTATTCCCTTTTCAGTTTCCTCTTCCTGCTCTTTCCATAGTCCCTCATCCTCTGGGCATACCCAGACTTAAGCCTGTCTGTGAAGCTCCTCCTGTGCCAGACACATGAGGCTTGGGTAGAGCCATGGACTTAAAAAGTTGAACCAGATTATCTTACAAGTGCCTTCCAACTTCCTGCTTTGTACAGGTTCTGCCCTTCAGAATGCAGCTGCAGCATCACCAAGAGATGGCTATCCAACTTCAACTTAGGTGTCTCCAGCAAAGAACAATCCAGCACTTCCCAATGCAATTGCTTCTACTATTGAACAGCTGCCATTGTCAGGAACTGGTTTAGCTGGAATCTGTTTCCCTGTAATATTCACCTGTTGGTTCTAGTCCTGCTCTTTGGAGCAAGAGAGAATAAGTCTGTTCTGTCTACTGCAGGGCAGCCTTTGACAAAGACAAAGATGGCAATATTGTCTTCTCTTAATTTTCTCCAGGTTAATTGCACCCCGTTCTTGCAACTGTTCCTCACAGGCCTTGGATTTCTTCCAGGCCCCTCATCATCTTGGTTGCTTTTCTCTGGACATGCTCCAACTTCCTTCTTAAAACAAGGTGCCCAGCAATGAACACAGTATTTAAATGTGGCTGAATACAGAATAGAGAATGGTATTAATGATAATGCAGAATAGAGTACAACAATAGCCCTATTCAGGTATTCAAAAAAGGGTTAAATCAGTGCATGAAGAGGACTGCTCCAGCCCCATGCGCCTACCTTTTTATGTTGCTTGCTCTCAGCTAATAATAGCAACAGCAACTTGTGGAGGGGAACAAGTTGAAAAGGAGAGCCCCAGTTATCTATGAGATTCACCATGTGAACCGTAGCATGGACTCTTCACGTTCTCCTCACATGTTGACCTTAGCCCATTATTGTGAGCCGCCCCGAGGCTTCGGCGAATGGGGCGGCATAAAAATGTTTAAATAAATAAATAAATAAATAAATAAATAAATAAATTTTGAATGCCTGGGTAGGGCTTGTTGCTTGCATGGTCAGGACTCTTGCCTTTGTTAAAGCAACTGAAGATTTCATTAACTGTCTTAACTGCTGCACTGAAGTGTTTGCTCATATTCAGCTTCCAACGTGCTAAAACATTGAGTTTCTTTTCACATGTACTTCTCCTAGCTCAGTTCTCTCAGTCCCACACTTGTTTCCTTGATTTTTTCCCCATAAATGCAAGAGATAAATGTAAAATTTTGCATCTTGTTAGGTTTGCCCCATGTTCCAGCCTCTCTGGATCCTTTTGAATCTTAAAGGATCAAGAGGGCTGTTGGCAGGTTTGTGTCATTTGCTAGGTAACCTTTCTACATCTGCATCCAAGTCATTTATAAAAGTGTTGAACAGCACATGACCTAGGACAGCACCCTGAGGCGCTTCACTTGAGACCAGAGGGAGGATACTGAGTGGTTGCTCAAGCATCTGTGGATGCACCTAACTGCAGTATTATCCAACCCACAAGTTACCATCTTATCAAGGGTACTGTATATTGGCAACCTTGTCAAATGCGTTGCTGAAATCAAGATATACCATGTTCATAGCAGACCCATGATGTGCCAGACTAGCAACTTCATCAGAGTTACTGAGGAAAACTAGCTTGCTCCATACAACCAGAAGAGAGGTGCAGTGTAAAGGATAGAGTGCATGGCAAGAGAAAGGTGTTTAGCTAGCTGGCCTACCCCCCGCTTCTCCTGTTTCCAGCACCTACTTCTTGGGACCAAAACAGATGTAACATGTGTTACATCTGTGACTTCTTCAGTTCTGCTTTATGAATATGCTAATTTCATTTTTGGGAGGAAGGTTACCCTGTAACCTCCTGCTTCTCTTCTGTGCCACTTCCTCAATATATGTTTCTCTCCTAAACATTCACTTGGTAGCAATGTGAAAAGAAGAATAGATAACTCCAGTCTCTTGCTTCATTATTCCCCACAAATATCTATAATTTTAGTTACTTAACACTATGAAATTATAAGAGTAGTATGAAATACAGGTTTTTATTGGTGTTTCAAGAATGTTTGTAAAATTGAGCCCCAAAACACTGAATTGCTCTTTTACAAATTCTGTTTTTCTTTTCTCTCTTTCCCCCAGAATGTATGCTAACTGTAGTGGCCCAGGATTCAGCCTTCACTCTGATATTGTCATGCCTTACATAGCAAACTATGGTACAAAGGAGCAGATTGAAAGGTTTATTCCAGAAATGACAGCAGGCAGGTGTATTGGCGCAATAGCGATGACAGAGCCTGGAGCTGGAAGGTGAGCCAAAACATAACTGAATGGCTTAAGGACTGCAATTCTGTGTACAAATACGTGGAATTCAGATCCCATTGAAGCCTATAAAGTGTGTACATAACACCCTTCAGATACCACATAATATGGTTATAGTAGCATAATACTAGTGGTCATGTTTGTCATCAGCAAGTACTCTAACTGAACTCAGAGAACTAGCACATGGGTCAAAATGTGGAGCTGTAAACTAGGGAGGGCCTACTGTGAATCTTGCCTCTGCCATGAATTTATTAGGTAGCCAGTGGCAAATGATACCACAGGAGGGGCTGAGGTCAGTGATGGGGGTAATGTTGACTCACCCAGGAAGGCCGCTCTCAGGTATCCCTGGGAGGGCGAAAAAGAAAAACATGGAACATATTCCATTCCTTAGTGGAAATTCCCAAGTTCACATTCTGTTCTATAATTTACATACAAGTAGTCCTAAAGACTTGTTGTTGTAGGACATTCTCACAAAGTGCTTGGTCTAAGATTTTTCCAAATTTTAGCTTCCTGCCTCTTACATTTTAAAAACAATAAACATGCTTTGGATAATAAAGTACCCCAGAATCTATGCAGAGTACTTCAACCAAAATTGCCCCCCCCGCCCCAAAAAGGCAAGGATCAATATAGTTAATCTAATTTAAAATTAGTAGGACAAACCATTGTTATGCAGAGAAAAAGTCAATGGAGCTAGCATTGCCATGTAGATTTTCTAATTTTCATAGATGATTAAATCTTGAATTACATGCATCTACTGATAGCTGAAAAACACTGTTAAACTGATTGCAACACCTTGGGGAGGAAAATTCAGGCAGAAAAACAGTTTTTTAGATTCTATCCCTGCCTACTACTGCCCTCCTCCAGACAGACAGACAGACAGACAGACACAGATATTGCCTCCTAGTTGTCGCATTGTCCAGAGACTGGGAAGTGTAAGTGTCCAGTCTTCCATTCACATAAGCTTCCTCTTGTCTGGGAACTCTACTGTGCCCACTTACTGCTGTCTTCCACTGGCCCAGAGTCATCCAAGCTTCATGAAGTGCCGGGTGAGTCCGACATAAAGGTGGTGATGTGGCTCAAGCTGGATAATGTGCGCTTTCCTTTCTCCAGGGGAGGGTTGGGGGTGGTTCACACAGCCAGAGCTTTTGGAGCTACCCCAGCCAAATATTTTGGGACAGAAGCAAGTTCTCTCCTTTTTTTGGTGCTTTAGGTGTGGAGCTCTGGATCTGGGTGCTCCGGCCCATGGAAATTATGATCTCCCTGCCCACCAACAATAGACTAGGGGGCTGGAGAAGTGTGTTTGTGATGGGAAGAAAAAATGTCCAAGGAGTCCTTTCCCTCAGTGGGTAAATGGGGATTCACCCACTGAGGAAGCCAGCAGTGAAGGCCTCTGAGGACTGACTGCATGGGTAACCCGCATGTGCTATGAATGCCAAGCATTATTGCTAATAGAAAAAAAATTAGGGCAATGGTTCCACGTGTCAATGATAAGAAGCAGAAGGAAAGGGGGGGATGCTAACTGGAAGCTAGTCTACCCAGGTAAATACGCTTAATGGAAAAAATAGAAGCAAAGCAATTGTCATTGAGGTAGAATTGGATGTTAATACTTCAAATGAGAATGAAGTGCTAGCATACACTTGCTGGTCACCTTAATTTTGTGTAGGTGTTTGGGTATTGCTCCTGCTTTTTTGGATATTGTAAATTGCTTTTGCTAGCCAACATCATGAACACATGTGCTCAAGGGTACAACCCTATGTTTGGTTGGGCCAGTAGGCTGCATTCCTTTTCAGGCTTTATAAATAACTGCCTGCCATATAATAGGCTTTTGAAGGGAGTGCTTGCAAGGATATTTATGGGGCCTTGTATCTACACACTCGTGCAGGATCCCTGCCATTGAGGGCTGCACCAATCGATTTCAGAGGTGGAGGACAGGTTTGGCTTTCATCGCAAGAACATTCTTACAGCTAGAGCTTTTATTTTTTTTTCTCCGTTACCCCATAAGAGTGAGCAGCAGTAAGATACAATTGGAAGGGAGCCTAAATTTGTTCCCTGTTCTTGGTAACCATGGCCATTTCAGATCAACTTGGTTCCTTTATATACACCCAGCTCCCACCTGGACTCTTGTTTTAGGTTGTGTTGCAGATTGGCCATTTGGGGAAGTCGCTGTTATATAATAGGTCGTCCGCTATCTGATTTTTCTTTTTATGCTGTGGTTACTTTAAACTGCATGCTGTTTAAGAACTATTTTCTTCTTAGTGATTTGCAGGGTGTGAGAACATTTGCAAAAAAAGATGGGAGTGACTGGATTCTAAATGGCAGTAAGGTATGTATGTGGCAGGGGAGGGTTAGTCTGGTGGATTCAGGAGTGAACACATTATGCAGCCATTTGTGATTTTGGTTTCTAGGTTGGCAGTGAAGGGCTTGGCAGTACCCAGCTTTTCAGTTGTGGGATGCCAAGCCATCTCCTTTTGCCTTTTGTAGGACAACTCCTGCTGCCAAAGTAGCATAGCTGCTTCTATTGGTAATGTTAAAACTCAGGGTAGCAGGTGATTTTCTGTGTGCTCTTTTTGTTTGGTAAAGATATAAAGACTATCTAAAGAATTTGGCCTTTTTCTGTGCTGTTAATTGGTCTGCACAGGGTAATAAATGCTCAAATATTTTGCAGTTCAAAAGAGTTGGCAAGTGAATGACCTCTCTGGTATGAAGTTGGCTGGAGGGATGAAGGAGACAAATAAAAACTTGACTCCAGCAATGCCAAAAAGGCTTTCCTTACCTTAGCAGCAGATTGTTTAAGACTCAGTGAAAATACCACATTAGATGCCACCCACATGCAGCCAGGTTTTCAGGCTTTACATTGGCTACTTTACTTGGAATGGATTCTCTTCTTCCTTGATTAGATATTCATGGCTTATGACTTTTCATGAGAACACACAATGCTGGATGGAACTACAAACAGTATGTAGTGTGTTGCCACTAAATGCTTAATTAGCCAATTACTTTCAGTTGCTATCCATAGCATGTCTGACTTGTGAAATCCATTAGAGAATAAACAGGAACCTTTGACCCATGGGCTCCATCAGATCTATGGAATCTCCTTGGATTCTTCCAGGGGGCAGGAACTGACCTCCAGGACTTGCCCCCTGGAAGAAGCTGGGCTCTTACCTCCAATGGATGATCAGAAAAGACTAGCTTCCCCCTCTCCCCGCACCTTCCCCCCCACACACACACATGGTGCTGCTCCTAATTAGATTTCTTGGGAAGCAAGTGACTCAGCTGTGTTTGGAGAAACAGTTCCTCCCATTGCTGGGTACATCTTTTCATTGCTAGCCCTGGGAAGAGCTCCTGTTTTTAACAGTGTTCAGGTCCCTTTCTATGGAAACTATGGAACTCACAGTAGCTCACTGTGATGAATTTGCACAGCACTTTGAAGATAAAGTTGCTCAGATTTGTCATGAATTGGACTGCCTTGGTCCCCCTGTAAGATGACCTTTTCCAGGACTGAGATGGGGCATGTGATCCTGTTGATTCTCCTGGACCTCTCTTCAGCTTTTGATACCATTAACCATGGTATCCTCCTGTATAGACTGGCAGGGTTGGGCATAGGAGGCATCGCTTTGTAGTAGTTCTTCTCCTACTTGAGTGGCTGATCCCAGAAGGTAATGCTGGGGGATTATTGCTGTGCGCTGTGGCAGTTATGCCAAGTTGCACCATGGGGCTCCATTTTACCCCCCATGCTCTTTAACATCTACATGAAACTGCATTCTTCTGCAATATGCAGATGACACTCAGCTCTACCTTTCTTTTTCAGCCAACCCAGGTGAGGCAGTGGCTGTTCTGAATCAGTGTCTGGTCATGGTAATAGACTGATGAAGTTCAATAAACTGAGACTCGATCCAGACAAGATAAAAATATGTTGGTGGGTGGGTTGTCTGTCCAATTGGGTGATATTCAACCTGTTCTGGATGGGGTTTCCTTCCCCTTAAAGGACAAGGTTCATAGTTTGGAGGTGCTGTTGCTTGAGTCACAAGTGGATTCAATGGCATGGAGCACCTTTTATAAGCTTAGGCTGCTATGCTAACTATGACCCTGTCTGGACAGGCAGACAGTGAGTGATCCATGCACTGGTATTTGGACTGTAACATGCTCTATGTGAGGCTGCCTTTGAAAATGGTCTGAAAATGGTCTGGAGACTACAGTTGCTTCAAAATTGGGCAGCAAAGCTGTTAAAAGGGATGCATCATGCCAGTCCTCTTTCAGTGGCACTGGTTGCTGATTGAAATCTGGGCCCTATTCAGAGTGCTAGTATTAATATTTAAAGCCCTAAAAATTTTGGTGCTGGGTTATCTGAAGGAATGCCTTGTCCTTTATGTATGTACCTAAGCCCTAAGGCCATCTTCTGAGATCCTTCCCAGGAAGCTCCCTGCAAATGAAGTGAAGAGAGTCACTACCAGGAGAAGAGCCTTTTCAGTTGTGGCACCCCAACTATGGAACCAGTTCCCCAAAGTGGTCTGCCTGGCACTCATTCTTTACTCTTTTTGGTGCCAGGTAAAACCATTTTAATTTTTCCATTATTTTAATAGTTAACTTTATTCTCAACTTTTAACTTGTATTGCTGCTGTACCTCTGGACTGATTTGATTGCAGTTGCAGTGGGCCTATTGTTGCTGTTTTATTTGGGGTTATTGTTCTGTTCTTTGAGTACTATAACTTGGTTTTGTGTTTTGTCGTGTTCTTTTTAACTTTGTGAACCACAGAGAGAGCCTTTTCCTTTTTGCTTATTGGGCAGTCTAGAGATAAATAAATAAATAAATAAGCAAGCACTTTTTTCCCCTCAGCATGGAGAAATGCAAAATGGGCAGAGTGATGATATCAGGCAGTGTTTGTATGCCCCTGATGTCATTCAGCCTGTGGTGGACCCAGTCGGCTCAATTCAGCTTCCCCCTGAACTTGCCAATAGACTTCTGGCAAGGGACGGGTTACACCTCACGAGGATGGGGAAAAGGTCCTTTGGAGATGCTCTAGCGAGCTTCGTCCGGAAGACTTTAAACTGAGCCGGGGGGGGGGGTGGTTCAGGCCCCCCAGTAACGTGTCTGCACTGGACAAGTGTGGGGGGAGGATCAGGGCTCTAGGAGCAGGGTTTTAGAGATACTGCAGGGACTGACAGGACTCCTACAGAGAGGGGCCAGGTATCAGGGAGGATGGGAGGAAGGAGGAGGCTGGGAACTCCAAGGAAAGGAAGCGGTGGGAAGGAGTTGAGGTGCATGTACACCAATGCTAGGAGCATGGGTAATAAGCAGGAGGAGCTTGAAGCTCTCCTGGGAATAGGGGGGTATGACCTGGTGGGAATCACAGAAACTTGGTGGGATGAAAGGCAAGACTGGAATGTGAACATAGAAGGGTATCACCTTTTTAGAAAGGACAGTAAGGGAAAGAAAGGTGGGGGCGTGGCTTTATATGTCAGGGAAGGGCTAGGATGCAGTGAGATAGAATGCAGCACAGATGGGGATTTGGTAGAGGCAGTCTGGGTGAAACTTAGGGGTTTTGACAGGGAAAGAGACCTGACAGTGGGGGTATGTTATCGCCCTCCAGGTCAACTTGAGACCCTGGATGATGTCCTGACAGGCCAGATTCTAAGGATATCTCGGGGGAGAGACACAGTAATTATGGGAGATTTCAGTCTCCCGGATATTACTTGGGAGACTCACTCGGTGGTGAGAGCCAGGTCACATTGCTTCCTAGAAGCTATAGAGGGAGGGTTTTTCACACAGAGGGTCCAAGAGGCGACGAGGGGGGGAACATCCTTGACTTGGTCTTGACCAATAGGGAGGAGCTGATAGATGAAGTACAGTTTAGGGGAGCTCTGGATGCGAGTGATCACCCCATCCTTTGCTTTGAGATCAGGGGACTGGGGACGGGCAGCAGGTCGAGCACTAGAAGCTGGGACTTCAAGAGGGCCAACTTTGGCCAACTGAAGGCCAGACTGGGGAAAGTCTCCTGGGATAGGTTACTGGAAGGTAAGCGAATTGAGGAGGGGTGGATAGCACTCAAAAGGGAGGTTTTGGAGGCGCAAGCCTTGACGATACCTCTAGTCAGTAAGGTAGGGAGGCGGAGGAGAGTGCCGCCATGGATGCGAAAGGAGGTGGTTAGAGGGATTAGATGAAAGAGGAACCTCCGCAGGAAATGGGTACTGGGGGAACTAGACAAAAGGGTATACCAGGAGGAGGAAGCCTGTTGCAGAAGGATTCTTCGCAAGGCTAAGGCTGATTATGAGCTGAGACTTGCCAAGAATATCAAGAGCAACAAAAAGGGCTTCATTCAGCATGTAAATAGGAAGAGGAAGGGGGAGACAAGTGGTGGGACCACTAAATAAGGAGGAAGGAGATCCAGTGACTGATATGAGGGAACAGGCACAGGTGCTAAATGACTATTTTGCCTCTGTGTTCTCCCCGAAGCAGGACGGGGGATATCCACATAGGAGATTAGATGAGGCTGGGGATTTAGGGGCACAGATTAGAGTCACCCCCCTTGAAGTCGAGAGGCTCCTCAGGGCATTGGACATTACAAAGGTGCCAGGCCCCGACGGGTTACACCCGAGAGTACTTAGAGAGTTGGCAGGGGTTCTCTCATGCCCGCTGGCCTCCATTTTTGAGACCTCGTGGAGAACGAGTGAAGTTCCAGAAGACTGGAGGGTGGCGTCAGTGGTTCCAATTTTCAAAAAGGGTAGTAGAAGGGACATGGGGAATTATATAGACCGGTTAGACTTACCTCCATTGCAGGAAAAACAATGGAAAGGCTCATAATAGAGAGAGATCTAGTGATGCTAGCTAGGGAAGGGAGGCTGACAGCCACACAACACGGCTTCCGCAAAAACAGGTCCTGCCAGACAAACCTTGTGGAATTCTATGACAAGGTTTCGAGATGGCTAGATGGAGGGGATGCAGTGGATGTGATATACCTGGATTTCAGCAAGGCTTTTAACAAAGTGCCCCATGATATCCTGGTGGAGAAACTGAGGAGTTTTGGGATACACCAAAGCACTGTCTGGTGGATTAGGGCATGGTTGACTGACCGAAAGCAGAAGGTAACCATTAGTGGGGAATCATCGGGATGGTGGTCAGTGACAAGCGGGGTCCCCCAGGGCTCTGTCCTGGGGCCAATCCTGTTTAATCTTTTCATTAACGACATGGAAGAAGGGGTGAACAGTCTGCTGATCAAATTCGCAGACAACACTAAAACTGGAGCAATGGCCACAACTGAGGAGCAGGAACTCCAGATCCAAAAGGATCTGGACAGACAATGGAAGTGGGCAGGAGACAACAGGATGGCGTTCAATGTGGATAAGTGCAAGGTCTTGCACTTGGGACATAGGAATAGCTGTCATAAGTACAGGTTAGGTGACAAGTGGCTGGAGAGCAGCACTTGTGAAAGGGACCTCGGGGTGCTGGTTGACTGCAGGCTAAGCATGAGTCAGCAGTGTGATGTGGCGGTCAAGAGGGCAAACGCCACCCTTGGTTGCATAGTCAGAAGTGTGGCTTCTAGATCGAGAGAGGTATTACTACCACTCTACATGAATCTGGTGCACCCGCAACTGGAGTATTGTACTTAGTTTTGGGCCCCTCATTACAGAAAGGATATAGCCAGGTTAGAGTTAGTGTAGCATAGGGCCACAAGGTTGGTGGCCGGTTTGCAGGGGATGCCGTATGAGGCGAGACTGAGGGAACTGGGTCTCTTCAGCCTGGAGAAGAGGAGACTCAGAGGGGACATGTTGGCGACATACAGATATGTGAGGGGATGTCACATGGAGATGGGCAGAGACCTGTTCTCCCCTGCAGAGGAAGGCAGGATGCACTCCAATGGAGCAAAGCTCAGGGAGCCAAGGTTCCATTTGGATGCCAGGAAGCACTTCCTGATAGCTAGGCCCCTGAGGGTATGGAATGGGCTTCCACGAGAGGTTGTTGAGGCCCCGTCGGTGAGGGTGTTCAAAGATAGGCTGGACATGCACATGGTGGGCATGTCGTGAGCGGAGCCGGCTGGTGCCAGAGGTCCCTTCTGACTCGCTCTGTTTCTATGTTTCTAGGTTCCCCTCACTTACATTAATCTGCTCTGTTAGATTCTTTGGCATGGCTGATTTCCAGCACAATCCCCAGCACATGTTTACTTCAAAATAAGTTCCATTGGCTTCCATTGGTCTTACACTCTCATATTTATGCTCACTGGGTTATTATATTAATTTTGCTTCTTTAGCAGGCTCTAGAGGCATTCAGTTCCAAGATCAAGAGACAGCTCAAAATTCCTTCAGAACACTGTGAGCTTGATTAGTTAGCAGTGAAATAATCTGAAGGCTCTTGTCTTAAGGGGCAGGGTGCAGTTTGATTCCCTTTGGGGTTTTTCTGGATCCTCTCCTCCTGTGGATAAGTATTTAAAGTGATCTGGATAATGATCATGAAAACACAAGATTAAATTCAGCAATAAAAGTTTGCACTAAGAGAATTAATACATTACAAAATAAGGGCTGGTGGGTTATGGTTGTGATGGCTTTCAACATTCAGAGTAGGCCTTGGCTCTTCCCAAGTTCCTTAATGGACATGCATCCAAGGCAAAGGAAGCACTAACAGCATCCTTACCCTTTATAATCTCTGCTTTATTCCAGGTGTTCATTACCAATGGCTGGATGTGCGATGTTGTGATTGTTGTTGCGGTTACCAACCGTGAGGCCCATTCTCCTGCTCATGGCATTAGCCTCTTCCTAGTAGAAAATGGAATGAAAGGATTCATTAAAGGACGTAAGCTTGAGAAAATAGGACTTAAAGCACAGGTGAGTCCCACGACTGGCTAGCGGTCTGGGGGGTTCACAGCACAGCACCCGCAAGCACCTCCAGTGCTCCTGCAAGGTTCTTTATTTCCTTTCCCTTCCAAAAATGATTTTAGTAAAAGATTAAAAACTATCAGGACAACTTGTTCTTCTTCCTGTTCCTGAACCTGCTGCCAATTAGCTGTTCACCTGGCAGGGAAAGAAGTAAGGCAAAGGGGAAGAGGGGAGAGAATGTGAGACTAGAGGTAGGAGTGAGAAGAAACAGTGAGTTTAAAAGATGTGTGGGTGGAAGCAGGGAGGAGGGTAGAAATAGCAGGCAGCAGGCTGAAAGTGGGGAAAGATAAGAGAGCAAAAAAGCGAAGTCTGGCTGGATGGACTAGGGTAGGGTGGGGCTGGAAGCAACTCTTGCTGTTTCTGTCTCCCCTCACCCCTGGCCTTAGTATTTCTTTTCCCCCACCTTTTAATTAGCCAGGAGCTTATCATGTGACTAGCCACATCCTTCATTGGAAGCATTTTGTGGTGATGCCCACAGCAGTTCCTCAAATTCCCAAATGTGTCTGAGAGTCCAAAAAGGTTGGGGATGCCTTAGTAGTCATACTAATGAATTTCTAGAGGTGTATCCATGTTAGTCTACTGCAGTGCCAAACGGGGGAGGGGGTTTTGGCATCCTAATGAATACATGTGGTAACCATATAGGTGGGCAACACAATTTGAGGAATATTTCAGGTTTTGATTCTGACAAAAATACTCAGCAAGCCCAGTTTACTTGGAAGATGCCTACAGAGAGAGTGGTTTACCTTGTACAGTTTTCAAAGCTGGTTTTTTCACCTGCCCTGATAACTTTTCCTTAATAAACTCTTAGCATTTCGGTTGATGGAATTTGGGAAGGTTTGGCAGATGAAAGGGAAAATTCACTTCTCATCACCTGATACCTCTTTGAAGATACAAGTCAAGCTCACTACACTGCTCACCATATGTCAACAGAACATACAAACATGTCTCCTCCTGTCACAGCTCAGTTTACCCCTAGAAATTGAATGTTGCAACCAATTGCTTTCATCAGCGGTTTTCTCCAACTTCTCTGCTTTTCAGCCCACTTCCCTGCGAGCAAAGCCCTGGCACTCTACATTATCATGGGTGTGAAAAAGAAGGACCATGTTATTACAGAGACAGAGGGGAATTGGCAATTGCGGCAAATAACGTTGACTTTGTTTTCTGCATATTGTTTAAATTTAGGACACAGCAGAAATGTTTTTTGAAGATGTCCGTCTGCCTGCCAGTGCCTTGCTTGGACAGGAGAACAAAGGCTTCTATTATCTAATGGCAGAGCTTCCTCAGGTAAGAGAGAGAGAAAAAGCCAAACTGAGAGATAAAGCCACACTGAAGAATTACACAAAAGCATTATTTGTTCATGGCAGCAAACTGCCAGCTCCAGATTATGCTGTGTGACATTTGATCTCAAACACAGGATGTTAAGAACCACCACCTGCTCTTCTCAGTGTGGTGTACTCTTAGCCTTGGAAATCTTATACTCAAAATTAGGTTGCAATTTTTTGCTGTATTACACACCTGAGTGTTAATGTAAGAAATTGCTCCTTATTGGGAAAAGGTTTCACTACATTACTGCTGGTACTACCCATATAGTTTATTATTCAAATAAGTTTTATTGATTTTTTAAAAATTCTTGGATCTAAAATTGGGATAGCTTGCTAAGTAGCACTGATGCAGGTGATGCTGAGAAAAACATTTTGTGCTGAGGAATGGGCTTCTCTAGCTTTTTTCAGGTGGTGTGGGGAAGAACTTCTTTTCTCCCCTGAGCAACCCAAAGGAGATGGGAGTGTATCTACTGACTTGGATAGAGGGAAATAAAGTCTAGTGTAGCAGTTAAAGCCTCCTTCTCAAAGGCACCCTATGGGGAGTCTACCAGTGAGAGGCTCTGCCTTGCATCCTAAGTGAAGCTTTTCCCTAATTGAAGCAGGTACCAAAGTAGTTTTTATTTCTGTTTATACCCATAATAAACATAGCAGCACAATTCTGTGGAGGGAGGATATAAAATTCACAAAATTGGTATAAGTTGGACTTTCAGTGGTATATTATTGCCCTGAAAGATATACAGAAAATGGATAAGAATTATAATGGTAAATATCAGAAATGCAAAGAAGTAGATGGGATTTTTTACCAAATGTGGTGGACATGTGATGAAAAAAAATGTTTTAGAAACAGATATATGTGGAAATGCAGAACACTCAAAGTTAACTTTCCTGAGAATACTAAGTATCATACCAGAATGATAACAGAGACTCTTCCAAAGACTATGCTAGATTTATTTAAATCTATGATAACAGTGGCAAGAGTAACTGTTGCATCAAAGTGGAAAGCAGAAGATTGTCCAGCAACCAAAGACTGGAAAAACAAGCTAACTGAGTATGCAATAATGGCAAAAATGTTTGCCGGGGTGTTTCTGGGTTTTAACTGTATTTGTTATTATATTTATTTGTGTGAGCCGTCCCAAGGCTATATAACAAGGGGATGGCATACAAAACTTTAAATAAATAAATATAACTAATTATATAAATAGAAGACCTGCCAAAAATTTAATGAAAAATGGAAAGCTTATTTTGAGCAATTTAAGTAATATGCATGAAAACAGAATTCGTGAAAATATTGTTAATGATTTTACTTCAGTGCTTAAGTTGTGATATTATCTACAATTAGTCTGATAAATTAGATCAATCTGTATGAGTACTTTGATTAAGGATTGATTGACAACTATGGCTAGAAGAGATAGAAAATTTCACTTTTTCAGGAATGTGTTTGATGTTGAAATTATATGCTATATTTATGTTATATCCCTTGGTATCCTTTTCTTTCTTTGAATGTGTATCTTTTCCCTTTTAATGAAAATAAATAAAAGATAAAAATAAACATAGCAACAGAATATTTCAAGAAACGATAACAGAATAGCTAGCAGGAATTCCCCTCAGTATCACTGAGAACTTGAATGAGTAATGCTCTTGTATGTACAAAAGCTCTCGTGCAGATAAGACTGCACCCATGAGGATTCAAAGGGATAGGACTGGAGGGTATAAGATGCACCCCCATTGCTACGTTCATAAATGCCATGATCTGACAGTCTTTATAGAATTTCTGATGGTTTCACAGGCAGGTAGAATAGCTATGATTTATACCTGAGAGTAAATTTTGGATGGCAAAATTAAATAGTTTCAGGAGTTTTTTCTCACTCTCCCCCTGTTGTGAGCTAGGCGTCCCCTCCCAAACGAGACAAGCACTTCAGTAATTATTAAAATAGTCTTTATTCCATACAGCAACAATGTATTCACAAGCTCTGAAACGAACTCTCCAGGTGGAAAGTTGAACCCTCGCTCTGACCCTATTCACCCAAAGCTTTGTTTATGAACCCTTTGGGGCCGATCTCTGGAGGGGAGCACACTATGAAAACAGGCACGCCGATGCTTTTCCCATTGAGTCCCTGATTGGTCCAGCTGGCGAGTGTATTGACAGGCTCTTGCGTCCACGTCTCCAGGGGTGTCAGGTTCTCCTCCTGAGAACCCCTCCCCAGCCGGTTCTTGGATGGCTTCTTTCCCACAAGCAGGAGTGGGTGGGGGCTCAGTGGCTGTCCTTGAAGTGCTTTGATCCAGAGCTGACTCAGGCTGGCTCACCAGGAGGGTTTGGGCAACTGGAGCCTCGCTAGTCTCAACAACTCCAATATCAGAGTGAGAACGCCGAGCCAGGGCTGGTTCAGCTCCCCACTCCCCATCCTCCGAGTCCAAGCCACCATTCCCACCGGAGCCCTCCATCTCTTGTGTGTGCCTGGGAATCTCATCTGAGCACACGTGCATGACACCCCCACCCCTTGCACCTCGGTCTAAAACTGTAGGCTCAAAACATAACTGCAAAGCATGAAGGTTAATAATAGTTGAAAAGATTAGCAGCCTACGAGAGGTTCAAGTTGTCCATTTTTAAAGACTGGGCAGATGAATGCCAATGATACAAGGGCAGGGGGGAGTACCAGGTAAAGGAATTGGCTGTGCATAGAGAAATAAGATCTTTTTAAAATGGGCAACAAGCTTATCAAATGATATTTTCCTCTTTCTCTCAAGGAAAGGCTGGCCATTGCTGATATGGCTATTGCCAGTTGTGAATTCATGTTTGAAGAGACAAGAAATTATGTGAAACAAAGGAAAGCTTTTGGAAAAACAATTGCACATTTACAGGTGAGCATTTGGCTACACCTCCATGTACAGTGGTGCCTTGGCTCACGAACTTAATCCATTCCTCAACTCTGGTCGTGGCAACCAGATTGGTCGTGACCCAAGTCAAATTTCCCCATAAGGTTCAATGCAAATAAGGTTAATCCATTCTGTAACTAGGTTTTTTAAATCTCAAAAATGTGAAACAAATTGCAAAGAACAACAAAGATCACGGCCATCTCTTCCCACCGAGCACAGTGGTGACCACCTCCCCTTCCTGTGCAGGGAAGACGGGTGCGATTGTCACCCAATGTGGAGCTAGCAACCTGAGGCAAAATTTTTCTGAAATTTCTGTTTGCTACCTGATTTGGTCGTGAACTGAGGCGTTTGTGAGTTGAGGTACCACTGCATTTGTGTCTGTGAAGTCCTTTAAGTTACAATCTGTCAGTTCTTTGCAGTTTGGTCTTCAGGCCTGGTTTGGGGATGGAATGGTCTATTGCTGGATGAACAAGAACTGAACAGTAAAGTCTGTCCCTGTTGCTTTGGCTGGACCTCTCAGCAGCATTTGATCACATTGACCCTAATCTTCTTCCAGGTCATTTGATTGGTTTGAGACTAGGGGACACTGTTTTATTTCTAGATGGTGATGCTGGAAGGATATTACTCAGCTCCATGGCAATGATCTAGGGCAGCCTTTCCTAACCTGGTGTTCTCCGGATGCTTTGGACTACAGCACTCATCCTTGGCCATAGGTCATGTTGGCTGTGGCTGATTCGATTTGTAGTCCAAAATATTGAGAGAACAGCAGGTTGGGGAGGTCTGCTTTAAACTGTTTATCATCTTGCAGGTCTTGGTAGGCAGAAAGATAATCTGTGAATCCTAGATGCACTGTCCATACCTTCCCAAGGAGTGTCCGGACCTCCACTGGCAAATTCCCTGTCACTACCCATTTCTGCAGGTTCTACTATCCACTCCTTCTTCCAGAGAGCCTCATATGCATCGCTTTTTCTGTAGCACTGTAGGCTTCAAGGAAAGAACAATTTGTATCAGAATTGCATGTGCCTGTGTGGTCCCCAGTCCTTCAGCCAGCATTGCATATGGCCTGTGGGGCCAAACAGGATATGCATCCCTTTGTTAAATAAATAATAAACATACACAGACCCTTTCATTAGAATTACTGCTAAGATTAGAAACTTATTTATTTTTTAAAACATGTTAACCTGTATTACAGCCTAGCATAGTTCCCAGGATCCCCTGGGCTAAGGAAACAACTTTTAAATCAGTTTGTCTGTAGTTTAAATGTTGTGTATGAAATGGCATTTTTCTCTAGTCTGCTTGCTCATAAAGCTCAAAAAGCTGATTTACTGGAATTATGAGTGATTTCCATTGATCCCAAAGGCATTCTTTGGGAAATGAAAATTTCAGCTGCCAGGAGCTTCACTGGCACATCACTCAAAAATGTGTCCAGCTGCCTGGCAAACTACACACAAACACACACAAACACACTGAGCGGAAGAGGGACTCCTGCTCCCTCCATAAGCTTATTGTAGGGTAAAGAGTATCTGTGGAGGAAGGAGGATGGGGCAGGAGGAGAAATGTTTATATGGGATTCTCCCCCCCATGCCACTATCGAATCACAGATCACATCTGTTTCCATGAAAGTAATGGCAGCAACACTTGGCAAGTGCAGCAGGATCCAAATCATGAATTCAAAGGACATGTTATGATCAGATAAGCTTCCCTCAAAGCGCCATCAAATTGTAGGTCACCTGGGTCCACAGGTTTGTTTTGTGAATTGGTGGTAGCCTTTGTATCCCATGTAAAAATTTTGAAGATCCTCCAGGATATGTGCCTCTAGAGTCAAAGGCTTCTGTGTCATGTCAGTACTAACAAGCACCAAATCTGTTTTTATGGTGCAATGGTTAAACAGCAGTGTAAATGTTAATGTAATATTAGCTTGGGGAAATACCATGTAGGAATCATGTAGCTTCATGGTGAGCCATTTTTATTTACTTGACCTTACTGATCATGCGCCCACAGCAGCTCACAACATCATTCAGAGTTTCAAATTGGTCCTAAAAGGTTGGGGACCCTAGCTGCTCTCACGTCATGAAAAAGCCAAAGAATTCTTGCTGACTCCAAACTGATGTTAGCTAGATCTTGAAAGGAAAAGAGGGTGTTGCTTCTATGAAGGCTGTTGTATTATCTAATACTAGTGTATAGAGTGCACTCTCCCCAAACTTTCCAGTTTTAATTTCTTTCTATCTTTTCCTTTGTGAACTGCATATTGTAAAAGCTTTTCCAAATGTACATTTTGGCCATGTCAGCAGATCTGATCTTAAATAGCAGTGCCACAGACCTGGTCAACAGTGGCAGAATATTAGCCTTGCACATGCAATCAACATTGCTGCTGCTTTTTCTTAGTATACAAAACAAAAAGCTCAATATCCCAAAGAGTTCAGGTTTGATTGCTTTCCAGCCTTCACCTTTTTCTCTGCTAGAATAATTCTTTCTGCAACCTGTAGATTTCTACATCTCACTAGAAGCTTTCTGGCATAATTGCATTTCCTTTGATTCAGGTCCCTTTGATTTGGCACAACTGTGTCTGTAGGCTGTGGCACACCCTGTGTATCTTCCAGGTGCTGCACTGACTTACTTTAGCAAATGTTTTCTAGGGTGCACATTGCAATTGTATGGTTAAGATCCAAGGGTCACTTTGGCTGAACTCTGAGGGTGATGCATTCCATGCACAGCGTGGGAGCAAGACTGTACTTGTCTGCTCTGGCCTATTGCCCACATCCTGGCCTATTGAATATCACTGTGTCATTAACTTACATGAAGTCTAGGAAATAACCAGCAGATTGCAGGGTCTTGAAGAGGGATATTTTAATTCACTTACAGTGCAATACTATATATGCCTTCTGAAAGAATTTGGTGGCTCTTTTTTATATCTGTATTTATATCTTTATGTCTGTAGCCTTGGAACATTCTGGGTTTTTTTTTAAAAATACATATCTGGGATTAAATGTCCTGGAAATAACATTTTTTATTTCAAAATATTATATATAGGATTGAGCTGTAAACCTTGGTCAACCTCTAGCACTGAGTTCAAGCTGGCATAAATTGCTATTGAAACTGTTGTTTCAAAAATAATTTTAAATCACAGACAGTTTTAGGAGTAACATTGAAAAGAGGGTTCTACAATTTGCGAATTTGTATTCTGAAAGGGGCCAATGTCTAAACATTAAAAAACACCTTTCTTCTATTATCTTGCATTCACCAGATTCACTCATGCATTCATATAATGTGAGAGAAGGTACTTCCTGTGCACAGATGCCCTTAGATTTCAGAAACATTTGCAAGAGAAAGGTGGCTAGAATCCAATCATGCATTAATTCATGAAAGCACTCCAAAATTGTTTTGTTTTAGCCAGAGTATTTTCTGTGACAGGTGTAATATAACAAACCACCAAATTTAAGCCTGTATACGCTGAGTAATGTATGTCGGTATATGCTAGGGTGCTGTACATTCACAGGGCCCAGTTAGAAAGGAGTACTTTCCAAGGCTCCTCTGCCCCCTCCACATCATTCTTACCAGGCAAAAGGTACTTCTTTTTTAGCATTTTGGCTAGTTCAATGGCTGCACCATGAAGTGAAGCATTGGTGAAGGTTGCAGCTATCCTCCATCTTCAGGAAAATGAAGATGCTAGGTGGTTGTAGCCTCAACCAGCACTTTGCTGTGCAGTGTGGCTCCCACACCAGTAAAAGTGCTTAAAACATAAAAAGGAATGTGACGACTGGCACTGGGTCCTAATGAGTCTACCAGCATCCATAGGCTCCTTCACTTGTTCCACCATGGTGCTGATGCAGAGCCTGTACATGTGTTCTGGGTAAGACAGAAAAGATTACATAACTACATTTCCATTGTATTATAGAATCTAGCTTGAGGTGACTGGATTGTGCAAAACCTTGTGGAATATACTGCTTATTCCTGCCCCCTTAATATGACAATATAATTCCTTATATAAATTCTTTTCCTCTTAACAAATTGTGCCTTTTCTTTCCAAACTGGAAGACTGTGCAGCACAAACTAGCAGAACTGAAAACACAAATATGCATAGGCCGGACTTTTTTGGATAGCTGTCTCCATCTTCACTCAGGAAAACGCCTAGACTCAAGCACTGCTTCCATGGCCAAGTACTGGTATGTGTGTAACCCAGGATTCTGCCTTTCTGTTTTACATTGCTAGATTTGAACAGTGATGTTGAATGTAGTCTCAAACGGTTGTCAGGAGTGTGGGAAGCTTGCCTTAGGGGGTTCAGAGAATTACCTGGAGAAATCTGACTTATCTTTCTTCCAGTTAACTCCTGTTCAGAAATATGGGTGGTGTGTGGGATTAAAGAGTACTCAAGAGAAAATAACAAGATTTTTTTAAAACAGGAAATAAGATTCCCAAAACTGTTAGTAAAATGCAATGAGAAAAAGTAGCCCTGCTTGTTAAACAGCTTCAAAGCAAAGCAGTTGGGATAAGTGCTTTAATGGTATAGTAGCATACATGGGACTCCTTCATGGATCACTGCCTTGTCGTGGTGAAGGAGCTTGCGTAGCTCAATGAAGCTATGAGCTATGCCATGCAGAGCCACCCAAGACAGACAGGTTAGAGCAGAGAGCTCAGACAAAACGTGATCCACAGGAGAAGGAAATGGCAACCCACTCCAGTATCTTTGCCATGAAAACCCCAAGGACAGTACCAAAAGGCAAAAAGATACAACGCCAGAAGATGAACCCCTCAGATCGGAAGGTGTCCAATATGCTACTGGGGAAGAGCAGAGGGCTAGTACTAGTAGCGCCAAAAAGAATGAAGCGACTGGGTCAAAGCCGAAAGGACACTCAGTTGCAGATGTATCTGGTGGTGAAAGGAAAGTCCAATGCTGCAAAGATCTATACTCCATAGGAACCTGGAATGTAAGATCCATGAGTCAAGGCAAGCTGGATGTGGTCAAACAAGAGATGACAAGACTGAACATCGACCTCTTAGGAATCAGTGAACTAAAATGGACAGGAATGGGTGAATTGAATTCAGATGACCATAAGGTATACTACTGCGGGCAAGAATTCCTCAGAAGAAATGGAGTAGCCTTCAAAGTCAATAAAAGAGTAGGAAAAGCAGTACTGGGATGCAACCTCCAAATGACAGAATCCAAGGAAGAACATTCAACATCACAATAGTCCAAGTCTATGCCCCAACCACCGTTGCTGAAGAGGCTGAGGTTGACCAGTTCTATGAAGGCCTACAACACCTTCTAGAATTAACACCCAAAAATGATCTCCTTATCATCATGGGGGATTGAAATGCTAAAGTAGGAAGCCAAAAGATAACCGGAATAACAGGCAAGTTTGGCCTTGGAGTACAAAATGAAGCAGGGCACAGGCTGGTAGAATTTTATCAAGAGAATACGATGTTCATAGCAAACACTCTTTTCCAACAACCCAAGAGACGACTCTACACATGGACATCACCAAACGGTCAACAACGAAATCAGATTGACTATGTGCTCTGCAGCCAAAGATGGAGAAGCATTATACAGTCAGTAAAAACTAGACCAGGAGCTGACTGTGGCTCAGATCATGAGCTTCTTGTTGCAAAATTTAGGCTTAAATTGAAGAAAGTTGGGAAAAGCACTAGGCCACTCAGGTATGACCTAAATCATATCCCTGATGAATATACAGTAGAGGTGGCAAATAGATTTAAGGAATTAGATCTGATAGACAGAGTGCCTGAAGAACTATGGACGGAGGTTCGCAACATTGTACAAGAGGTAGCAACTAAAGCCATCCCAAAGAAAAAGAAATGCAAGAAAGCAAAATGGCTGTCTGAGGAAGCTTTACAAATAGCTGAGGTAGAAGGGAAGTGAAAGGCAAGGAAGAAAGAGAAAGATACAGCCAATTGAATTCTGAATTCCAGAGAATAGCTAGAAGAGATAAGGATGCCTTCTTCAATGAACAGTGCAAAGAAATAGAAGAAAATAATAGAAAAGGGAGGACCAGAGATCTCTTCAAGAACATTGGAGATATGAAGGGAACATTTCATGCAAAGATGGGCATGATAAAGGACCAAAATGGCAGGGACCTAACAGAGGCAGAAGAGATTAAGAAGAGGTAGCAAGATTACACAGAAAAACTATACAAGAAAGAGCTTAATATCCCTGATAACCACGATGGGGTGGTCACTGACCTCGAGCCAGATATCCTGGAATGTGAAGTCAAATGGGCCTTAGGAAGTCTGAGCAACAACAAAGCTAGTGGAGGTGACACTATTCCAGCTGAGCTATTCAAAATCTTAAAAGACGATGCAGTAAAAGTGCTACACTCAATATGCCAGCAAATTTGGAAAACTCAACAGTGGCCACTGGATTGGAAAAGGTCAGTTTACATTCCCATCCCAAAGAAGGGCAATGCCAAAGAATGTTGAAACTACTGCACCATTGCACTCATTTCACATGCTAGCAAAGTGATGCTCAAAATCCTACAAGCTAGGCTCCAGCAGTATGTGGACCGAGAACTACCAGAAGTACAGGCAGGATTTCGAAGAAGGAGAGGAACTAGAGATCAAATTGCCAACATATGCTGGATCATGGAGAAAGCTAGGGAGTTCCAGAAAAACATCTACTTCTGCTTCATTGACTATGCTAAAGCCTTTGATTGTGTGGATCACAACAAATTGTGGCAAGTTCTTAAAGAGATGGGAGTACCAGACCATCTTATTTGTTTACTGAGAAACCTATATGCAGGTCAAGAAGCAACAGTGAGAACTGGACACGGAACCACTGATTGGTTCAAAACTGAGAAAGGCGTTTGGCAAGGCTGTATACTGTTGCCCTGCCTATTTAACTTTTATGCAGAGCACATCATGGGAAAGGCGGGGCTAGATGAATCACCAGTTGGAATTAAGATTGCTGGGAGAAATATCAACAACCTCAGATATGCAGATGATACCACTCTAATGGCAGAAAGTGAAGAGGAACTAAAGAGCCTCTTGATGCGGGTGAAGAAGGAGAATGCAAAAGTTGGCTTGAAACTCAACATTAAGAAAACTAAGATCATGGCATCCGGTCCTCTCACTTCCTGGCAAATAGATGGGGAAGAAATGGAGGTAGTGACAGATTTTATTTTCCTGGGCTCACTGCACACGGGGACTGCAGCCAAAAAATTTCCTGGGGAGGAAAGCTATGGCAAATCTAGACAGCATACTAAAAAGCAGAGACATCACCCTGCCAACAAAAGTGCGTATAGTCAAGGCTGTGGTTTTCCCAGTTGCAATGTATGGCTGTGAAAGCTGGACCATAAGGAAGGCTGCGCGCTGAAGGATTGAGGCCTTTGAATTGTGGTGCTGGAGGAGACTCCTGTGAGTCCCCTGGACCACAAGGCGATCAAACCGGTCAGTCCTAGAGGAGATCAACCCTGACTGCTCTTTAGAAGGCCAGATCCTGAAGATGAAACTCAAATACTTTGATCACTTAATGAGACCAGAAGGACTCCCTGGAGAAGAGCCTAATGCTGGGAACAATAGATGGCAAAAGAAGAAGGGGACAGCAGAGAATGAGGTGGCTAGATGGAGTCACTGAAGCAGTTGGTGTGAGCTTAAGTGGACTCTGGGGGATGGGGGAGGACAGGAAGGCCTGGAGGAATGTTGTCTATGGGGTCGCGATGGGTCGGACACAACTTCGCGACTAACAACAAGCATACATGGGACCATTTTTTCCCACTTACTGCAAGTAAAAGGGGAGAATAAAATAGCAAGGTGACAGAAAAATGAGTGTAGGCTTTTGGATTGCACGTCACATATTAGGGATTGTCCAATAGACCAGCCTTCTCACCTTGGCATTTTCAAACGTTTTGAACTGCACTTCTTGCCAGGCTCAGCCAGCATGGCCAATGATAAGGAACAGTGAGAGTCCTAGTTTGAACCATCTGGAAGATACCAGGTTGGGGAAGTCTGCATGAGTCACTCCTAAAATTTGCACAGTCATATCCCATATAGTGATAGCTGAGGATGCTGCATTGGGTGAAGAATCTCAATATTACAAGTTTGATTAAGGAGATAATGCATTACCTTCAAATATGCTATCATGTGTAAAGGTGTTGATACCAAATAAATAGCAGTGCTATAAACTGAACTGGAGGTAATTAGAAAGCCAGGAAAATCATTGCTGGAATCCAGTCAAATTAAGTATATATTCCAGAAATATAAAGACTTGAAAACTCATATTATTGGAAATTGGTTTCTTAAATTTGAGAATGAATATTATGCTATATTATGGATGGGTAGTTTGGCAGTCCTTAAGCTACTTCTTAAGGGTGATTTTATTTTATTTTTTCACTACCCAATAGTTGGAGCTCTCTGACAAGTTTACCGTTCATCTCTGAGCTAGGGAAAAGAGTCATACTGACCTGAACATCTGTATGCATGCTGCCCCCTCCAAAAAAAACCACCCACCAAACAAACAAACAAAAACCCTTACAGTACTAACATTTTGAGTTACTTAAGAATGCTTAATTACAGAGCTGAAATCCTTTAGGAGACCATGACATGATTTTACTATAAAACTGTTGAAGATTTATCAAAGAAGTTGTTCCAGATAGCTTGCTGTGCAAACATAGATATAGTATATAACCTAAAGCATTTTTCCCAAATCTGTTTTTCATATGGAAAATTTTCCCACTGCCATATTATTAAAAAACAATAACCCTGACCTGAGTTGCCTTTTTTAGTTCAACTTTTCATTAGCCAGAGAAGGCCCCTGGGTTGTTATTGTTGTTACATATTAACTTATGTTTCACAGGACAAAGTTAGACAAGTAAAAATGTTTAAGGTAATACTTTGTACTGATGCCAGATTAATTTAACTAATGGGTGAAAGAAATCAGAAGTAAGATTTTTAAAAAGCAAAACAAAGGAAATTATATATCAGTTTGTGTCTTGGGAATATACAAAGGGAAATGTAGACACATAGAACAGAGTCTAGATGAGATTTCAAATAATGGACAAGAATTTTGGAGTGAAGTATCTGATAAGGAAACAATTCCATTTTGCCTCTAAGTGAAGGGAACTACCATTTGTCTGCTGAAAGTCTATGCATATATTTAGTGACTTTTCCTCGAACTTGCAGAATGCTTAACTATTGATGTGACCATGTATTTTTGGTATTGCAACTCAATAGGCCTATCTTATCCACCAATAAATAAATAAATATCCTAAAATCACCTTCTTAAATAAGGTTGGTTTTTCATATGGAAATTCTGTTGAGCTTGGCATTGTTTGTATTCATGTAGAGTTATTCTTCTTTTACTGCTGAATGGAAAAGGCTCCTAGTTCCAGAGACTTTACATGTATTCTAAACTGGTGTTGAAAACTGGTGTTGCATTAAGTGCTGAGAGACAGATATGAACCAAGCTATGTTGCTTAGACAGTGCTTTGAGTAATTATGGAAACCATTACATAAAATTAGGCAGCTGTTGAATGATAAATGATGTAATAACCTGCCTTTGAAACCTTTTCTTTGTAAACATTTCTGTAACTGTTCTTGAACATTATACAAGTTAGTCAAAAATTTTGGAGTATTTTCACCATTTTTCTTGTTATGTATTAAAACTTGACAGTAAGGCAAAATATTAAATGGCTTTTTAGTGCTTTGCTTTAAAAAATAGTGGAGAATGCTGTGGTTCCTTAAAGTTCCTATAAGCTGAATTGGCTTCTAGGCACAAAAATTGTACTGCTTTGCTTACAAACTTTCCCCCTTTCCATTTAAGGGCTAGTGATCTCCAAAACAGTGTGGCTACTCAGTGTGTACAGCTCCATGGAGGCTGGGGATATATGTGGGAATATCCAATTGCAAAGTAAGTAACTGCTTTTTATCCTCACAGTTACACTGTTTTGTTCTAAAAAAATCCTGCAAATGTTTCAGCTGTTCTTTACTTATCCAGTTATTCTACAGGCTGTTTGAGAGTGTGAATATCCTTTAATTATAAAAAGTTGATACAGCAGTTTTAAAAAGTAAAATGAGAAGACTATTTATTTGAGACTAAGTTTCCTTTCATCTATAGCTTCTGAATATAATTTCATATGTCATTAAATTTCCTTTTGATACTAGTTGGGTGTACATTTTTAGTATAGTTCTTTATTACCTCAAGGGAACTGACTGCTGGGTCGTATGTTTGCTTGGGGGTCTCTGTTCTTTTGGGCTGATGGGTGCATTTGGAATATTGTGTGGCATGGGCACAAAATGGCTGACATGGCAAAGCAACCATTTTGCAGAGGGGGAAAACCTATTGGGTTACCCTGCAGGTACATAAAAAACCAAACATTTTGCACTACAAATATTCACAAAAGCCCCCAATCATAATTGCATATCCACAAAGGATACAGAAACATATGCATATGTGGACCCTTCCCTTGCTTTCTCTGCCTCCCACTGTAGCCTCTCTCTCTGCTTGTGACACAATCCTCCTCCTCCACCTTCCTTTTCCCATCTCAGCCCCATTCTTCCCACTTTCTCCCTTTCCACTTTGGGTCATTAGTCTTTCTTACCCCTCTTGTTGCTCCTTGCAGCTCTTCCAAAGCTGAGTCTCCTTGATGATCCTTTCTCCTCTGCCTCATTGGATAGTTAAAGTTATCCTAGTTTCTTCACTTACTAAACACTGATAGTTGCTCCCTTCCATCCTTTTCCCCATTGGACTTCCAGTAGCATTTCCAGATCAGCTGTTCACCTTCAGCTGCACATCCACTTGAGGCTAGGGATAGATGAGAAATGCACTGAGTTAGCATTTGAATGTGAATTTATCAGATTGACAGATTCCAATCTAAACACAAACCAGAGCACAATTATATAATTGCATTTTCCTGAATTTACTAATATATTAGCTATTCTAACAATGCATTTAAGGGAAAATGCATGCATGTTCATGTGCAACAGAAAAGTATACACAAATTAGTTTATCACAGCAAAATACGCACAGTTGCATTATATTAGGGAAAATCACCTGCAGAAATATATATAGAATCATTTGAATCATTCTCAGCCATCTAAAATGTTTTACTTAACAACAACAACAACAACAACTCATTAGCACTTTGTGGGAGCAGTGATGCACAAGGTCACCATGTTACTGATGTCCAGTATATAACTTACAGTCAAAATTCTTATACACATGAGATTTCAACTATTGTTTTGACTATTGTTCCTTATTAGTGGTCTAGGAATGTTTCCAATTTTCTGCATTTTTTAATTTGCATTTTTATGCTGCTCCTCAGCCAAAATGGCTCTCAGGATTGGCTTCTGGGCCCAGGAAAGCTTCTATCATAATCAGTTAAACAAGACAATCCCCCTGCAAGACTCATAATCTAAAAAGTTATGACACACATGGAAAAAGAAAGAGAAGGAAAGAAGGAAACTGAAGCAACTGAAAATTAAGTGCAACCCATTCAGAATAATTGAGAATTAAATATTTAAGAGATTGCCAAACAGTTTGGGGGTGTTTATTTTTTGTAGTCCTATGGAATTTGAAGAGTCTCAGCTTTTTTTTTTTTTTTTTTTTTTTTGAAGAGTCTCAGCTTTTTGAAAAAGAAAACAAGTTTATAGTTCTGTTGCTTGCATTGGTACAACCAGCATGAAGCAGGAGTGGTACAAAGTCTTTTTGAGAAGTTTCAGTGCTCTGCACTATAGGCTTCTAAGGTGGAACAGCCTTTCATTCATGACCACCAGTCACGTTCCATGCCTCACCAGTGTAGCACTCCTACAGATCTTGTGCTTCTATCTTCTATAGCAACTATATAGAACAGTTTCTGCAACAAGAATGAATTATGCAAATTAGACAGAATCACAGTTTGGACAAACATAAGGTTTCTGCTCATAACAATCTGAGAGCTGCTTGAAATGTTTCATGCTGGATCTTTGCCCATATCTGTAATCTGTTACCATATATAGGCTTCAGCATTCATTGCATTAGAAATGCTGGAATAATTTTTGTTTCCTGAGAGATGCTAAAAGCTGACAGGATATTCACGTAACTGACTGCTACACTGCTGGCAAGGAACTGGTAGCTGCAAAATTTTAACATCTCCCCCCCCCCAAACCCCCCCCCTCAGTTTAGACATCACACTAAATCAGGGTTTAAGCTTCAAACGTACAAATGAAACCTTGACTGCTTTAGTTTTACAATCATCACTGCATCCTTCAAAGGTAAAGCAACAGTCAGTTATGGTTTGCCAGTTTAAATTTCACAACAGATCATAATAAACCATGCCAAATCTTGCTTAAAAAATTGACATTTATGAATAGGGAAAACTATGAGTTAGAGAATACTGCAATAAATAGGGGTAGAGAAACTGAGAGACTAGCACTCAAGGTGAGTAAAGCTTCATCATCTCCTATGACTTTTTACTTAGTTAAGATTTCCGATTCCGATTTCCGATTTATATCCTGCCTTTTTCCTACAAAGGGCTCAAGGCAGCTTACATCTCCTCCTCCATCTTATCCCCACAACAACAACCCTGTGAGGTAGGTTGGGCTGAGAGTCTGTGACTGGCCCAAAGTCACCCAGTAAGCTCCATGGCCGAGCGGGGACTTGAACCCGGGTCGCCTGAGTCCCAGTCCCATGCTCTTAACCACCACACCACACTGGCTTTTTGTCTGTGACAAGAAAAGAATGTAGTCACACAGATTTTAAACCTCATGATTAATAAACAGAAGATAGTGGGAAGTTTAAACATCACAACAATCCATTATTTATCCTGTTAGGAACAAGCTGTAACAAGGAAGAGTACTAAGTATCATGGCCCAAGTAACATAGTATCCCCAATTAACATGTGGTTCCAAATCAGTTTTTGGCATCTTTACTTATTTACTCAGATATTTGTATGCCACCCACTTATGCCACAGCACCTCTGGGCAGCTCACAACATGAGATAAAAACACAATAAAACATAATAACCATAACATATAACACATTAGAAACAACAATAATAACACCTGTCCTTTGGAATGCCATTGGGCATAATTGTTGCTCTTTGCACAAAACACTGCATGTATGTGTTATCTTCTGGAACATTTGGATCTGTGATAGTAGGGGTGGGAAACCCATGTCCCTCCAAGTATTGTTGGATTCCAACCTTCTAAGCAAGGTAAATGGTGAAACTTAATGAGAGATGAAATACAGCAACTTGCAGGGCCACAGTTTTTCTAGTCCTTCCTAAACATCTCAACTTTTTGTTTTTTAGGAATTAAGACTATTAGCCATTTTTAGTATAGCGTGACTCTCATCTCTGATGAAACACCTGCTCTGGAAAAAAAAAACTGTGTATTAAGCACTGAAAACAAACTTTGTTTCTGACCTGTGAAGCTTGCTTAAATAGCACATACTTTACATTTAAGAACAGTTCTGTTGCTACGATCCCAGCCTGCCTACATATACCATAATGATATGCATGTTTGTACTGGAATGTTTTTGCACACCTCTGACATTTTTCTCTAGATCTTTTGTAGACGCTCGTGTTCAGCCAATCTATGGTGGTACCAATGAAATAATGAAAGAGCTCATTGCTAGAGATATTGTGAGTGACAAGTAAGCATACAGAAAGCGCTGAAGGACAGACACCATCTGAATTTCCTTACCAGCTGACAAAGAATTAATAATTGCCTACTGCACAAAAAATGGGGAGAAGGACAGCAGGAACAAGAGGAAACACCATTTTAAATGCTGTTAAAACATCTGTAATGAAGAGTACGTTTTTCTTACTGATCCCTAATTGTTTAACAGAGAACTATTAATGTTTTTCTTTGGGGGTATGATTTCTAATACAGAATGTAATGCATGCTTTATCATCAAAAATTGGGTTCTTTGAAGCCTTATTCTAGTACTAAACTTTAAGAATGAAACATTTAACTTACAGGTGCAGGAAACAGTAACTCACAAAGCTTATATAAAGGAAAAGCTCTTTGGAAATAGTAGTGTGTGGGCTTATTTCTGGCACATTTACCTTTTCAGGTATAGCTGTTATAGTGAGGATCACAACGATTAAGTTTTAATGAAATGTAAGAAAAATGTACAGATAATTCTCTGATGTTACCAAGCAATTAATTGCACAAGGATATTTTTAGAAGTTTGCATGAAACCAGAATTGCCCTATTTCAGTTTATACCTATTTTGTATAGAATGATGAATAGTGGAACCACAAAATAGAATACTTGCAGTCTGATATCCCTTCAACCTTAAGTAATGACTTGAAAGTGCCAAGATTCTAGTGCTCTGAAATGTGCTGCAAGGCATTGCACATTGGATGTGCAAAATGACACCCACTGAATGTGATAATCCTCCCTGTACGACTAAACTGAAGGCTATATACCAGATTATGAGAATAAAGCCTCCCTATTTCACTGCAGCTTGAACTAAGTTATCTGTGTTAGTTTCAGAAAAAAGTAAACCCTTGCCATCCTGTGAAGAAAGTAATTTAACAGCTCAGACTAGGGTGCATCTGAAGAAACACGTTTTAAACGTTAAAGTGCAACAAGACTCGGTTGCTTTTTGTGACTGTATCACCGAATTGCTTTATTCTAAAAGTTTATGTAGGAGCCATAATAACTTTCAGTTGATGTTAATGTGGGCCAAGGTTTGCACATTCGTGACAGTTGAGATTCACAACAGTTAATCAATGCAACTACGTCTCGGCTCTGGGATAGGGCTTGGAAGTGCTTGCAGACGGGGCTTAAAATGTCCAATGCCAGTGTTGGGTAAAATAATCTTTTGATCAGCGGGAGTCTGCGTGCCGCTCTGGAGCATTTAGACAGTCCACGCATGCGTTTTCAGCGAGTACAAGCGATTTTGCGCTGGGTCGTGGGGAGAGCTGGCGTACATTCGAGGAGGAGGCGGCGTAAGTTCCCAAAGTGCCCGAGAAGAGGCAGCGCCCCTCGCGTCGGGAATTCCAACCCCGTGGAAAGACCCCGTCCCAGCCACCGCGTGATTTGCATAGAGCAGCTTCTTTGCCTTCCGATTGGTCAGCTTAGGCAGCCAACTCCCCGCGGAGGCCCCGCCTGCTCCCGTTTCTTTGGCTGCTGAGGTAGCTACTTGGACCGGCGCGACTGTTGGAAGATCGGCGGGCAGGCAAGAGAGTGCGAAGGCTGCTCACGGAGGACGGGGCAGGGGAACAGGGAGTAGGCGGAGATGTTTTCACTCTGGCTCTTGAGAAGTTAACGAGAGTGCGTGAGGAAAGAGAAGGGCGGGAAGGCAACGACCGAGCCGAGTTGGCAGGCAAGTCAGGGCTTCGGAGGGGAGGCGGAGGCGGGTTGCTTCCCGTGAAGGCTCCCCTCAGGGAGTTGAAGAGAGACGGTTGGTTCCCTGGGCGGCGGCGGTCATCACCCCCCCTTGTGGCGCGCGCGCCCAAGTGCAAACGACCGCACTGGGATAATCGTAAGCGTTCTTAACAGTGACTTAACGGCAGTGAAGCGAGAAAGGGCGAGAAGTGGTGGGGAGGGAAGAGAGGCGGGACTTGGAGGGAGGCCGGTGGAGGGGCGCGGCCGTGGCCCTGGAATGTGAGGGGGCGGGGTCTGAGGCTGGGAGGGAAAGTTAAGCTCGTGGCGCGTGACGTAGGGGGGAGGAGGAAGAGGCTGAATTCAAGAGGGTTGTGCTTGGGAAAGGAGGGAAGAAGTTTCTAAGGGAAAAGCGCGCGTGGCTGTGACAATCATGCAGCCTCCTTCCACAGGCTTGGGAATTTGTACACCACGTTTTGTAATTTAGAATGATTGTTTTCTTCTTATATCCAATGTGCGCACTTCGAAGATTTGAGAATTTACAATCATACTTATGACCTCAGTCTGGATGGCGGTAGACATGCGGTGCACGAGGAGCGGAGCAGTGATCTGCATGCTGAAGTATGCAGATCTCCCCGCCTTATGTAGAATAATCCAAATTATTTTGCTGGGGTTTTCCTGCATGGAAAGCTGCCCTACCATATTAAGCTGCTCTCAGAAATATAAATAATTGCATTTTAGAAAGAATAAAATAATCTTGATTGATCTGACAGACTATAGATTAAATAGAAACACACATATATAATCAGATGTATTTAATGGAGTAACTATTGATACTTGTTTTTTCCTTTTTAATCTAAATGTGGAAATTTGAAAACTGCTATGGTGTTTCTTATGCGGTTTTGTAAGAAGGGATAAATCTGAAGTCATGGTAATGAAGTGCATTTTTGCTGTTCCAGCAACTATTAATTTGTCTGAATGTGTATGTGACAAAATAAAACTGCAGGTACAAGATTGCCATCAAATCGTTGCTGCATTTGAATAAGATTTTGAACAAAACCACACTTAGTGATATTTGTGCCATCTGCTGCTTTAGTAAATTGTGCCCATTCTTTCAAAGGCTAGGTTTTGTCTCTGGTGTTTCAACTTTACATCCAAATCCAGTGCAATTCATTAGTTATGTTGTTAGTTTCTTTCAAGTCATTGAAACGAAATGCACACTTACGTCAGTATGTATTGTAGGTCTTGGGTTTGTTGATGTGAGATGTTACATGTTGTAATTCTGATCAGCAGCTACTGTTTGCACTGGGGCATGTTAGACAAAACACAGCAAGTCCAACCAGCACTTCTTGATCCAATATATTTATTTATTTATTTAGCACTTATATGCCGCCCCATTCGCCGGCACTTCGGGGCGGCTTACAAACATAAATAAATACATAACATTAATACCATTATATAAAGTCGGAGACATCCTGGCCAAAATTGTTAAAATCAATAAATAAAATCAACAATTAAAATGATGTTTAAACAAAAAGGTCTTGGCCTGGCGCTGAAAAGCAAATAACGACGGCACCAGGCGGACCTCTCTGGGGAGCACATTCCATAGGTTGGGCACCACCGCAGAGAAAGCCCTCCTCTGGGTACTCACCCTCCTAATATCATTCACGGAGGGCTCCCAGAGAAGGGCCTCTGCCACCGATCTCAAGGGGCAGGAGGACATGTATGGACGTAAGCTCTCCTTAAGGTAACCAGGTCCCAAGCCGTTAAGGGCTTTATAGGTGATAACCAACACCTTGAATTGGGCCTGAACTTCAATGGGGAGCCAGTGAAGCTGACGGAGGACAGGAGTCATGTGAGCACAACACCCCGTCCCCATCAGCAACCTGGCAGCTCTGTTTTGCACCAATTGAAGTATCCGGATCGTCTTCAAGGGCAGCCCCACGCAGAGTGCGTTACAGAAGTAGTCGGGAAGTCACCAATGTGTGTGTCACTGTTGCCAAGCAGTTGTTCTCCAGGTAGGGACGCAGCTGATGAATCAGCCAAAGCTGAAAGAAAACGCTCCTCATCACCGCTGTTACTTGAGCTTCCAGCGAAAGCTCTGGTTCGAGGAGTACTCCAAGCAGTGGTCCTTGTCCTTCAGAGGGAGTGCAACCCCATTCAGGACAAGGTCAAGGTCCCCTTCCCCGAAGCCTGACCCACCTACCAACAGGACCTCCGTCTTGTCTGGATTGAGCTTCAGTTTATTGGCCCTCAGCCAGCCCATTACCTCAGCCAGGCACCAGTTCAGCACAGCCACTGCCTCACCTGGATTGGTTGAAAATGAGAGGTAGAACTGGGTATCATCAGCGTACTGATGATTCTGCAGCCCACACCTCCTGATGACCTCTCCCAGCGGTTTCATGTAGATGTTAAATAGCATGGGGGACAGAATGGATCCCTGCGGAACTCCATGGCATAGCTGCCATGGCACAGAGCCATAGTCCCCCAGCACCACCTTCTGGAATCGGCTATTGAGATAGGAGTGGAACCACTGCAAAGCAGTGCCTCCAACCCCCAGTCCCGCTAGCCCATCCAGAAGGATACCATGGTCAATGGTATCGAAAGCCGCTGAGAGGTCCAGGAGGACCAACAGGGACGCACTCCCCCTGTCTCTCTCCCTGCACAGGTCATACAGGGCGGCCAAGGCAGATTCAGTACCGTACCCGGGTCTGAAGCCGGACTGAAATGGGTCCAGATAATCAGTTTCATCCAAGAGTACTTGGAGTTGTCCCGCCACCACCCGCCCCCAATACCTTGCCCAAATATGGGATGTTGGCCACTGGTCTATAATTGTATAAAAGTATAAATTATAATTGTATAAATCGGTCTATATAAAAGTCTATAATTTTACTGGATGTGTGTGTGTGCATACTATGAGGCAGTAGGAAATTGACTCTTCAGTCTGTCTGGGTCAAGTAGGGGGGAAAAAAGGCAGACAGGAGGGGAAACAAAAGAGTGCTCAAGGAAGAGGCATTCCTCTTATTGCTCAAATCTCTGAGCTGTTTTAGCACATCAGAAGGGAGACAAAGATAACTTGGGCAGTTAAGGGTGGATGGGATTAATTCCCATCTGTTGGCCTCATGCCCTATGTGTAGGCTTCCAAGAAGTAACTGGCTCGTCATTGTGGCCAGCAGACTGATTAATATGATGGGGTCTGAGCCCCAGTGGTAAAAATTTCCAAATGGGTACCTCTTCAAATAACATACCTTCTGAACACTAATTTTCTCTCTGCTTTTTCAAAGTCAAAGAAAAAAAATATCTTCTTGCATTCAGCTTAATGAGGTTGTACATTGTACAGAAGGCATGGCAATTAATGTTGAGAAGCTGCTGATTGGACAGAACTGCCCATGTGCCTACCAGTCCAGCCTGTTGCTACATGTGCCTCTGTCTAACAATCATGCTGTTAATGTGCCCTTCCAGCTTTCACTGTAGTAGAAGGCAAGGGAGAGATCCTCCAGTGGGGCATTCAGTTTGTCCATGCAGGGATATAATACAGGGAAAACCCCCCACAAAGCCTAAAGGTGAAACCCATTTCACACAAAGACAATGGGCAAGTTTCTTGACTGAGAGCATTATTGCATGGGAGAGTTTGTATATTTTGAACTCACATAGAGCAGCAACATATTGTATGAAAAAGGCAAACTGACATTTGGGACTGCAGCCTGACTCAAAAAAGAACCACACAAAACCAGTCCTTTTTGAATTCAATTTTGTCTTCTACATCAACACCCCATTGTCCCCACCATAGCTTGAATTTTCAAAACACAGAGCAAGCTCTTCAAGAAAACTTACACATGGTGTCTTTCTGTTATGTGCAATCCAGACAACTGTCTTTTGAATCCATACCTGCAGCCCATGGCTCAGAGAGGATAAAGTATGCAAGTTAACTGACACACATTCTCCACCCCCACCCCTGTGCTCAATAAATTTAAGAGGCTGAGCTTCACTTACCCATTACACCGCTCATAGTCTATTTGATTCCTTTTGATACGGCTGCAAGACTAGAATTTCAAAAAGCAGAGTCAGCTATTGGTGGTGTATAGTTCACTAGTAAATGGGTTCTAATTGGCTTGGTGAAATAGACAAGGTCATATTTGGAAATTAGACAGAATGGTGCTCATGGATGCTCTGCCTGTTTGGTAAATTGCTACTGGTGTTGAGGAAGAAGAGGTACTGGAACAGCATGTCAGCAGTAGTCTTAAGTAGATTTGGGTAGGGCTTGAGGGGTGAGTTTATTTTGAGTGTAAGAAACCAAAGGTAGAGATGTGTGGGGGAGAAGGTTCTGTCGTGTCATCACAAACTGGTAGCTTCCCTCTGCTGTCATGTGCTGTCAAGTTCCCTCATACTTACGGTGAACTTATGAATGAAAGCTTTCCAAAATGTCTTTTCTATGACAGCCTTATTCAACTCTTGTTCCTTTATGAAGTCCTTTGAATTCTCCTTCCCTTATGAAGTCAGTGCATCTCAGATTTGAGCTTCCTTCTCTTCTTCTGCCTTCAACTTTGCCTAGCATGTTTGTCTTCTTCAGGGAGTTTTGCCATCCCATGACATGCCCAAAGCATGTGATCAGTTATACATTAGCATGGATGATCCTGGTCTTTACCTCCAGTGAAATGTCCTTACATATATCTTTTCTAGTTCCTTCACTGCTGCCCTTCTAAGTCTCAGTCTGAATTTCTAGACTACAGTTTCCCTTTGAATTGGTGACTGACTCAAAGTATGCAAAAATTTTCAGTTTTTATTGTTGACAGAAAAATTCTGTAATTCTTCTGTAGTCATTATTTTTGATATTTTAATACATGGCTATAAACCACCTCGAGACATCTAAGTATGGGACAGTATAGAAAAGTAATAAATAAATAAATAACATAGCTGCAATCCTCCTTTTGCACTTTCTTCCTTCACTTTCATCAGGAGACCTTTCAGTTCATTGCTGCTTTTTGCCAGTATCATCTGCATTTAAATCATTACTGCATCTACTGTCAATTTTTATTCCTTCCTTTGAGAAATGCCTGATATTCAAGCTGGATTCCAAAAAGGAAAGGCATTTGAGAAAGGGTGATTTGTCTATATGACAAAATAGACATTGCCTACTGAAGCACACCAAATAATTTCAGAAAAAGATCAGTCTATGTTTCATAGACTATGGCAAAGCCTTGCTGTGCAGACCACAAAAACTATGGGTGGTTCTTTTAAGAAATGTGTGTGCCACAGCACTTGGTTGTTCTGATGCATAACCTGTATTGTGGATAACAAGCTACCTTTTGGACAGAATATTGAGAAGCAGCATGGATTTTCATATGCAAAGGTGTCAGACAAGGGTGTATTTTGTTTCCTTATCTATTCAATCTATGCAGAAGATATGGGGAAAGCTGATTTAGAATAAGGGGGGGAATTGAAAGATGCATCAGTAATTTAACAAATGTCTACAACAGAGACCAAAGACAAGATCATCCATAGTAATGTATTCCCAATCACTGTGCATTGGTGTGTAAGCTGGGCAGTGAAGAAAGAGGACAGGGAAAAATGATGTTTTTGAAACATGGTGCTGGAGGAGAGGTTTGTGAATACCGTTGACTGGCAGACAAACAAGTGGGTCATCGATCCACAGCTTTCCTTAGAAGCAAAAATGACAAAGCTGAAGCTGTCATATTTTGGGTGCATGATGAGAAGGCCAACTCCTTCAAAGAAGAAGAAGACAATCATGATAGGAAAAGCTGAAGGCAGAAGAAGAGAAGGTAGACCAAATATAGGATTGATTGATTCCATAAAGGAAGCCATAGCTTGGAATTAAAAAAAAAAAACTAAACAGGGTTATCACAGATAGGACATATTGGAGAACTTTCATAGGGTTGCTACATAAGCCAAGAAAAAAAAAAGAAGTGGGGGATAAATGTGATGGAATTGCTGCAGAAAATATGTTATCTAGTGGTTGGTTGTTTTTCTGTTCACAAGGACAAGACAGTAATGGGGAGTGAGGGTTAAGGTTGTACTTTGCATCATCTTTGTTGCATGTGTTAGCCTACTTGAATGCTTTGAGCAGAAACTACAGCTTACTATAGATCTCTTAAGATGTATAAAAGGAGGTCTTCTCGCTTGCAGACTGGAAGATCTCTCTAGTCATTGATAATGCTTGCTTAAAAAAAGGTTGAGGAGTTGTCTTCTGTTAATGTACATGTTCACATACTGTTGATATAAAGAAAGGAGTTTTTGCCTTTCAGTAATTGTAAGTCAAAAGCATTCTTCATAATCAATACCAATTACTTCACAGTATGCATGTAATTTTTCACCATTTAAGTGGTTTTTGTTTTTAAGGGTAGTAATTGCAGTGGCTTTAAACAATGAGCATCAAGATATCAGAGCACTGCAATTGTAGGTAGTGAAAAACATTGTTACCCTAGTAAGAGCTCTTGCCAGATATTCTGGATGTTCTGTGCATCATGGAACTATTTTATAGTCTTAAATGGAAATATGATCTAGAATTATTTTCCAATTGCAGTGTCATAGCAGCAGAGTTCAAAATACAGTACAATTTCATTCAATATTGTTTCTTTTACAGGCTTGTTGTAAACTGCTTACAACAGCTATGACACCTGCTCTTCAAGAGAAAGCAATGAAAGGTCACAGTATCTACTTAGCACCTTCCTTGTCTTCACAAGCTATGGAGTCCTGTGAAACACTAGACATGGGAAATACCAGGCCAGTAAAAGAGAAGATAATGAATGATTCTTTAACAAACATTACTTGCTCTGTGCTAAGGTTTCCCACCCCTCAGGCCAACCATAGCACTGACTGTTTAAATTTAAAATACTTGGAGTCCCCGTCCTCAAAACATTATCCTTTATTAATGAGCTCCAGTCCAACTTTCAGCATAAACAAGAATTGTATGCAGAGGAACTCTGAAGAGCATAATTGCTCCAAGATGAGGAATCCATTATGTAATAACACAAATTCACATTTCAGACAGATTATTAATCCAAACTCTGGGGAGCAGGTCAGAAGGGAAATTTTATTGGGGACAACCAAAAACTTACAAGAAATGGAGAGACAACGTGATTCATTTTTAAGTGAAACCAGTAATGCAGAAGAAAGGCAGTTTTCTAACTGTAAATGGTATCGGAATAATGGCTTATTTAGCAAGACCATATTTGTAAATCCTGAGACAAAAAAAGAATTATTTGAACAGGAACACCATAATACTCCAGAAGCAATAATGAACTGCAGCCCAAGCTGTAAACAACAAGAATTGAATTTTCGTTTACTTCAGTGCGTTAATAGGCAACAGGTTTTGCTTAGCCGGGCCATAAAATCTCAGAAACATTTGCAGATTCTTTTGGCAAAGCATGTTGTCAAACACTGTGATCAACAAATGAAATGTTTTGTGAGGCATCAGCTACAAAGAATAAAAGTTTTGGATAGCAGCCATCAAAGATGTGCAACAATTAAAATTGACAACAACAATGTAGAGGCAAATACAAGTAAAGAAGTGTCCCCCAGTTTTGGTCTTGCAACTGGTGAAATCAAGAAATTTGCTCATTCAACAGCAAGGCTTTTATCTCAGGTGGAAGAGAGCTTGGATTCTGAGGCTACTTGTAGCAGCTCAAGTGATGATGATGGTGATGAACAGATTTCCAGAAGACTTGGGGCAGTGTAAGTATTAAAGCATGCTGTAGTCCAGTGCACAGTTTTATACATTTGGGTCTTAGTACCTGTGAGACTAAAGCTGTAATATGTTAATAAAATCAAGGCAGAGATCTGTGGACCTTCTAAGTCAGTTTTACCATGTTCTTACTTCTTGTATCCAGTGGTTTTGTAAATGGAAGGCAGTTTGTATCCCTAGTCATCCTTCTTTGTGGTCTCTGCATCACACATATGGGCTTTTGTGCCTGTGCAGAAGGTGTTTTCAGGAAATTTCTATAACTTAAATGTTCATATGGATGGAAGCCCATCCCATTCCTGTTCCCAAGAAGTATGGGGAGGGGTCATGCCTCTTCCCTCAGTTCCTTTTCGACCGCCATTGAGCCTAGACTGGGAATCACTTCTCTCTCATAACTCTTTCCACACTAGCATTCTCTTACATATTTTCTTCCCTCTTCCATCAACAGCAACTTCTTTTGCTCCCCATCAATCCTTTTCACTCTTTACAAAAAAAATCCACAAAAATATATTTATCTACCCAGTTTTACTATCTGCTGCTCTTTACAACTTCCCCTGAGTTGCCTGTGCTTTTTCTGAACTCTCCTTTCCCCCTGCCTTTCCCATCTTACCAAAGGTATTGGCATCTGCTTTCCACAGCTGCTCTGATTGCAGAAGTAAAATACCCCCATACAATAGGCATTACCTCTGCCTCTGTTTGGGTGAGGGACATGTCTTGGAGGCCTGTGCCCACTGCCAGGTCTTTACAAAGCAAATCCAGAAGCACCAGGCCAACCAGGTATCTGACTCCTCCAAGAAGGGAGGAGAGTGACCGCATGGCAGGGAAGACCACAAAAAGAATGAAAGATGGTTGCACCCAAACAGAAGAAAAAGTGCTACACAAATACTGCTTGCCCAGTGACCCCAACCATTGAGTCCCCTGTGCCAGACAACCACCTGCACACTCTGGAGCCAACAGAAGGCACCACTGCTGCATTGGAGAAGGAAGCTAAGATATGGCCCTGCCATATTGCTGAACCACTCAGCATGACCACCTGATGTTCATGCTCCCAGGAACACTCTGCTACTGATTGACCCCCATGCAGCCATTGGCATTGCCCTTGGAAACTGATTTGATGCCTGAATATGCAGCCACTCCAGGCTGCTTGGAGGCCAGGGGACACTGAGAATGGAACATTCTCCCCTCATCAATTAGGACTGCGGCTTGAATTGGTCCCCATCATCCTCCCTCTCTGAGTTGATCTGAACTCTGTGACAGGGATGACTGTGGGCATTGGTACTATGTCAGTACTGAGGCTTGGTGCTAAGACAATTGATACTAGGATCCTGATGTCAACTGTTGCTGATGCCAGGGGCACACCCACCATTACCCTTGTTTCTTGGCATCAGAGAGGCAGGCCAGCCACCATCCCTCCATGTTTGGCCAATGTGACGACTGGTTCTCTAGTTGATCCCTTGCCTCAATTATAAGTTGACACCAGGTTTCAATACCTAGTTGGCCGTACACTCCTGTGTCCAACTGACATTGACCCTCAGTACCAAGTGAACACCAGCCCTCCATACTGGATCAGCACCAACCATTGACTGCTGACACTGCCCGGCACCATCTATGCCCCAGCACTGACAGCCAAGAACCCTGTCTCCATCCTTAAGAGATACATATTGGATTTGGAGTTGGTGATCTCCCTGTGCCCATTGAAGCCATCCCTGGACACTGCCATGTTTAACCAGATCCCAGCATCCCCTTCAGAGGAGTGGGGGGTGCTTTGTGAAGCAGGTGCTGATGAGGGTGGCTACCAGTCTGGGACTAGAAATTGAGCAACAGAGGGACCAGGCTGCTGACCCAGTTGTTGATGTTGTGGGCTTGGAGAACTTGACACTAGTGGCTACTCACTTCCTACCAGCCCTGCTCCAGACTGTTAAACAGTCCTGGAAGTCCCCTGCACCTCAGGGAAGGTTGAGTCCATATATTGGGTTCTGGAGAGAGACATCTCATTCCTCCTCCAATGCCTGAGGTTGAATTCTGTTGTTATGGAATTGGCACAGGGGACATCTCAGCGCAAACCCCTCCTGTTGCCACTGCTTGGAAGGTCTGGCAAGGAAATTATACATGGCTTTGTGCTTGGGCCTGTGGGTATCCAGCTATGAGACCACCATGGCTTGTAGCCAACTGTTTCTGTGGGAAAAGATGGGGGCCATAACTGAGTTCCTCTCAGACGGGTTCAGGGAGGCATCATGCCTACTCCACATAGAGGCCTCAAAGCTGACTAAACATTGGATCATGGCAGCCAGGCATCACATGGACTGTGACCAATGCTGTGACAGGCACAGCAGCTATTTGCAAGCATGCCTGGCTCCACTCAGCTGGACTGCGCTCATGCACTGAAGACCTTCCTTTCAATGGAAAGGGCTCTTCAAATCACAGACTGATGAGAGGATGGACTCCAAAAGGCAAAATCCATAGCCAGAAGGATTGCATTTCAGCAGCTTGGGACCTCTCTTCCGCCACAGCAGATGTACCCTCATGTTAATCATGCCCACAGGCCCCACACAACCCCACAACAAAGGAGGCACAAATTCTTGACCTACTTTAGACAAGCACAGATGAGCAGAGAGTGGGGGCAAGTGCATGCAATGGTGTTCCCTACTGGTGGTCCCTACCAATCCTCTCTCCCATACCAGCTTTGCTGGGTGCCTTGCCTGATTCCTTTCTGCATGGGAAGCGTCATGGAAAGAGGCTACAGGGGTACCACCATCCCACCTCTCAGTGCTGTCAAAAGCATACTCTTGTCCCCAACTACTGTTGGAGATAGACAGGTTACTCTCCAGTGGGGTTATTGAGAGGATCCGCTCAACCTGTTCAGAGGGTTCTACTCTTGATACTTCACAATATCAAAGCAGGATGAAGGACTCTGAAAAATCCTAGACCTCAGAGGCATTAACTGGTTTATCACACCAGGGAAATTCAGAATGTACACCCTGGAGAGCATTCAATGGTTTGCTTTGATTGACCTTAAAGATGCCTATTTCCACATCACCATAGACCACAATTACATGTATTTCCTATGCTTCCAAATTGGGGAAGAGATTTTTCCATTTTCTGTTCTCGCATTAGGGTCTTCACAAAATGCATGGTGGAGGTATGCTCTTATCTCCAGCTCCAGGGAGTACAGGTCTTCCTATACCTCGATGGCTGGCTTCTGGTGTCCCTACCTGAGACTGAACTACAGCACTCAATCTGTACCATCTGCTCTTTACTGTGAACCCTGGGACTGTGTCTAAATCACAAAAAAATCTGTTCTTTCCCTTTCCCAGTCCATACTCTTCCCTTCACTCAGTACAAGTGGATGCCCTCTTGCCACAACCCAAGGCAGTGGCACTATGCAATCCAGCAGCTGACATCAGTGCAAGACAGCCTGTCCCAGCTCATGCCATATAGAAGCTCCTCCGCCTTATGGCAGCCACAGTAGTGGTGGTCCACTTTGCCAGATTGTGGATGAGACTTCTGCAGCTGTGGTTCATCCATAGAAGACAACTCACACAGTATCATCCTGAATGTCCCAACCTCAGTTTGGAACAGTCCACAGTGGTGGAACATCCCACACAACCTCAGGACAGGGATTAGCTTCCTCTCCTCAGAGCCAGCCATCACTGTTGCCACAGACAATTCAAAGTCAGGCCAGGGGACATTACTGCAACAACCTGCAAACCCAGGGGCCTTGGAACCAAGGGAAAAGCAGGTATCACATCAACTTCTTGGAAATGCTGGCCATACAGAAGGCATTGAATTCATGCCAAACCTCCCTGCACAGCCACCATGTGCAGATTGCTGTGGATCTGAGATGTTCTAACTAAACAAGAAGGAAGCACACAATCCATACTTCTCACCAGGCTGCCCATAGATTTATGGGATTGGTGCATCACTAGAGGCATTGCGATCTGGCCATCCACATGGCGGGCAAAAAGAATGTCCTGGCAGACAACCTTACCCACACAACTCTCGGCTCACATGTGCGGAAGCTAAAGATATTAGTCCTCCGTGACTACTATCCGCAGTAGAGGGGGCTGTCAGTGGGTCTATTCGCAACAGCCCACAACACATCTTGTCCCCAGTTTTGCTTCAAGGCGGGACAGGGAACTGGCTTTCTGGAGGAAGCCTTCTTGCTCTGATGGAACTGAACTCTGTTCTACATCTTCCCTCCATTCACCTGGATTACCAATTGCCAGGATCTGGAGGGACAAGATGAACTGCATTCTCATTAACCTTGTTGGCTGAGACAGCTATGATTCACCCACCTTCTCCAATTGTCCTAAGAGGACTTCATCCACCTACTGTGCAGGCAGAACTTTATCTTGCAGGATCAGGCCAAATCCTCCACCCAAACATCAGGATCTTGCAGCTCATGGCATAGAGGATTGCCCTCTAGAGCAGGAGGAGCCACCAGTACTGCCCAGGGTGCTGCCCATTCTGGACACAGCCATGAAATTGCCCACAAGGAGGTCTTATGCAGCAAAGTAGAAAGCCTTCATGATGATCACATGCCAGGAAGGCTTTGACCCAAGCGTGGTGCCACCATCAAACAAGTACCATCTTTCCTATAGACCTGCTTCTAGAAAGGCCTCACATCCTCGCCAGTTCATGTATAGCTGGGTATCTCCTTCTTCAACCCAGTGATTGAGGGGATGTCAGTTTTTGGTACATAGGTTCCTGAAGGGACTGAAAACCTTGTACCACGCACCCGGCCCTACATTGCGTCTTTTGGTGGTGCTACATGCACTAACCAAGAGACCTTTGAACCCCTGGCTCCAGTGGACTTACGCCTCTTATCCTGGGAGGTAACCTCCCTAGTGGCCATCACTTTGGCCAATTGCACCAGTGAGATTTGCATCCTCCGAGTGGAGCCTCTCTGTATATTACTCGTCAAAGGGAAAAGGCTGTTCTTTGTGCAGACCCATCCTTCCTACCGAAGGTCATTTCATCATTCCACCTCAGC